CAAGATACAACACGTTTGGTATCACGACTTAGAAAAGGACTCCTAATGTTTGGTGATTTTATTAGAAATAGAAATAATTCTTAATGGTGTTCAAAATGTTTTATTTGAAGGAAGTTATGAAGGCCTCAACAATGATCAAATAACTGGGTGGTCTTCCCGCCCTGGTATGGGACACTACCGATGGTTGAGAGGTCCTATTAATCATCTTCGAAGAGAACAAAGATCAGAGTATGTAGCGAATATAATTCGTCACATCATAGATTTCATCAACATATGATGATCGCTCCTCGCGGAACTCGTCCCTAGAAAGGGAGATAATGTCACGGACATATTCATGTAAGCCAATATTTCTATATATAAATAAGTAGAAGTAAATAAAAGTAAATAAAAGTAAGTTAATTCTATAATATTTGATATGGAAGCTTCCTAAAAGCTTCATAGACACTGCTTTGACTTTATAGGTGTCTTTAATTGACTTTTTGGATTAGAAACGTAGTCAACAAGTTGGCCATGTGCCACACATGTTATTAGCTTGAAGACCAAGTTAACAATGTGGCTCATACGTAGAAAAACTTGCCTTGTAAGTCAAGGCATGTGTCCTACAAAGTCAACACATATTGGAGGTCCTATAGAACGTCGCCACGTAGATTCTAGTTAGATAGTATATATAGAGACAAGAGTGAAGCCTTCTTCACTCTTGTCAACTCTTTTCTTGCTTCCAGTCTAGTTTCAAGGGTCTCTAGTTTTCTTGTCTTTTGGCAATAGCCATTCCAGTTTTTCTTTCAATATGCATACTTGTTTATTTATATTTTGTTATCTTTCTTTGAATGAAGGCCCACTTGTCTGAATTACTTTTTCATCGATTTCTTGTCATTGATAGTAAATCCAAAAGGCATGATATTATATTCAAAATGACCATATTTGATTTGAAATGCAATCTTTCATTCATTTCTTTTGTTAATGTATATCAAATTATATATTCCTTAAAATTCTATTTTGTTATAAAAAAAAAATTGATTTAATTAATCAAAAAATCTTGTTACTAAAGGTAGATAATATTTATTTTTAATAATATTTTTATTGAGTCTTTAATAATCTATACATATTTGCAATGATATATCTTTTTTTTTTTTTACAAACAAGATTAAAGTTTCTACTCAAGATTGCAAATAAAATTCTTGACCAAGTTCTTTTTAATATATTCCTTGAGTTCAACCAATTCATTTTGTGAGAAATTGTAGATTGGTCTAAAAAGCAATTGAGCTCCTTCTTAAAGATCAATTAAGCAATAATATGGACAATGCTTTGAAAAAGTATTTATATTCTTTTTTTCAAAAATATCTTAATAATCTTAATATTAGCTTTAAATACCACTTAAAGTCTTTTTAATATTAGAAATAGATATAGCATAAATAACAAAAGGTGGTTTTATTATTGATGCATGTAGAAAAGTTCTTGCATTTATAAATAAGTTTTTGGTTGTAATAAACTTATGACTTTCTATATAGTTGACAAAATTCTTAATGATACTTTAAAAAATTAAAACTAAAAGAAATCCAATTTATTTGAAGATTATATTTTTTTAGCGACAATAAACCTAAAATTATTAGATTAGATGGAGATCTATTGATATTAAATATCACAAAGCTATTATGACCATTAGTTGGTACTTTTATAAGAAATTTTTTATGAATAACATCTCTAAAAGACAACAAGCTAAAGCTCTTGAATCTAGCAAGATAGAGGCTTTGTGATGTTTTAGTCTAATGATCCTATTATTCTTATAATAAGATTGTAACAATAATATGAGTAATCATTTTTTATCATAGCTTATAAAAAATGTACAAAGAGACTTAAAATCTATTTTTTTTTCTATTTGTTGATGATATATGATAATATGCTACATAATCAAAGACTTTTAAGTGTATTAGATTTTATTTTTTATCTATAAGTACTTTTTTTGATATTATAAGTCAAAATAATTTTATAGGATCCTTATTTTGGATGTAATTAACTATTTTAGGAGCTCTTTTTTATAAATATTCAGATACTTTGGTTTTAGTAATAATACTTAGTATTTTTTTTAGAATAAATTGATTTTTATAATTTATAATATCATTTTGTTGAAAAATATTGTAAAATAAGTTTTCTATTAATTTTTTTTTTAAATAACTTTAAAAATAACTTAACATATACTTGCCTCTTCAATCAATTTGAAGACATTCTACTTCTATGCTTAGATTTTCTACAAAAACTTTGAATTCTTTAAATTTTTCTTATGTTTAAGTTTTGTCTTATAGAAAATATAACCACATCTTGCAAATATAATCATCTATAAATTTTAAGGTATATTTATTTTCATTCTTTCATAGAAATGATAAAGATCCATATAAATTAATATAAATAATTTTTAATTATTTGGATATAAAACTACTCCATTTCTTAAGAAAATAATAATTATGAATTGTTCTTTGAATATAGCTCACACATATTTCTTTTCACAAGGATATTTACAAAAATTCCACCAACCAATCCTTGGTTAAATAAGTGATATAAGTTTTGATAATTAACATGGCTAATCTTTTCATGCCAAAGTCTTATAATTTCTTTAGATATTTTTGGAATTTTTTTAAAAATATATCTTATTTTTAGTTGAATCAATATTGATTATATGAAGAATATCATCTTTTCTTGGTAAGAAAGAAGCCACATAAAGATGTTTCTTCTTTTCTTTAATATAATATATTTTAGTTTTTGCTCTAATTACTTGTAGATAAATCGCCCTTAGATTATTTTTATCAAGTATGTAATAATATTTAGAACTAAATAATATTATATGCTCTAAATTTATAAAAAAAATTGAACTAAAAATAAATTATTTTTTATTCTTAATATATAAAGAATATTCTTTAATTTTTATTTTTTTAGAAAAAATTTTGAATTTTAAATTTCTTATCTAATTATAAGTAAAAAAAAAATTTTCAACCATTTTAATATTAGTTACATCCAAGTCCTCTATTTTTGTCAAAATTTGTTTATTTCCAATCATATGTGAATTTGTTCTAGAGTCTAAGAACCACTTGCTTTCAAAATCAAATACATCAAAATAAGTATTTTCTATGGCTTCAATTAGATGGTCCAAGACATTAAATGGTTTATCTTCAATTAGATGGTCCAAGACATTAAATGGTTTATCTTCAATTAGATGGTCTAAGACATTAAATGCTTAACCAAGTCAAAATAAGTAATATCTTTATTATATATAGAGATACTTATTTTGACTTGGTTAAGCAACAAATTGATCTCTTACAAATATTTGCTTTAAATATTGTTTTTAGCTAATCGTAGAGTATATAACTTTTCCTTCAAATTCAATTCTTTATTTAAGTTTTGTACATCATACAATATTTGAAATCTTTTCTATATAGCTTGAGGTTCAGGAATACCAATCACATGATGAATGATAGACTCTTGTACCATAGATGTGATGATATAACAAGCTCTAATGCAATTTTGAAGAAAAAAGTTACAACTGTATTCTCAATTGGTATTATATTATTGATGTTTGGACCTTTCTCTCATGTGCAAGATATTGTAGGTGCAATTGCAATAACAAGTGAACTTGTTGTAGATTTTTTAATATTGACAAAAATAGATGAAAATAACTTAAACAATCTCTTTAGGTTTTCTTGCATTAAAATCATTTCAATTCTATAATTCTATAATATATAGTTAGATGTTCCATCTAACCTCATAGTTTGAAGGATATCTCTTACTACACATTCTATATCTCTCTACTAAAGATATAAATAAAAATAGAATATATATATATATATATATATATATATATATATCTTTACTTTTTTTCAAAACTATAGTATATTCTTAAGAACTTAACTCTAATACCATGTTAGAATACACAAAGTGCTAACTTTGGCATGTATTAATTAATCTCATACATGTACAATGTCATTGTTTCTTAATGTAGGTTTTTAAAAGAGACAAATGTCCAATAAGAATAATTCATTCAAAAACATAGAATGAAATCTTAACTCCTATTAACCTAATGAAAGAGTGGCTACATGTCATTGCAACCCTAATCCTAATGGATAAACTATTAGCTAGATAACAATGTTTGGATGGATATATGCATCAACAGATTCTTAATAGAAAAGTAATTAAAACTCCAAAAAAGATAAGGGATATTTAGATCACATACCTCCAATGCACGAACACATCCAAATTAATTTCATAAAATTGGTACTCATATCAAAGGAGACATGCTTTTCCAGTGCATTTTGCACTCATAATTTCAATTGTCTACTTGGGCATCATCTTCTTCAATAATGCATGATGTATCTGCATTTAAGTAATCTCATTTTCCAATTACTGCACCTAAAATGCCACTCCCATCCCCACAGCTTGAACCAAAAACCTTTTAAATAGTTTAGAAAATTGTAAATACCTTAGTATCAGATTTGTCTCCATTTATACTTGAGGCGAAAAGACTCTTGCTCCTGGCCCTGCTTTTTCATAGAAACCAATAGTTATATTTTATTTGACTTCCTCTTCACGGCCAGGTTCTGGACACAGATTTACTTTGTATAATTATACAACCAACACTACATTTCTGGGGTTAAATTTATATGGGTCAATTGCGTATATGAAAATGAAGTATGCCAGGATAATGTGATGATAGAGATCCTCGGGTTTAATTTTAATGCGCTGCTCACATATTGGGCTGCCAAATGTTTTGCTTCTGATTCATTTCAAGCCAGCTTCACACCAAGCTTCCGCATGAGTCGAATGTTAACCTGTAAGAACCACAAACCTTGTCTGCTCATAACTTAACTCTCACTCGCTGGAATCGAAGAGTTCATAAAACCAAGAGTTTTAGGGGTTTGAAATTCATATATCGATATGTTGAAGGAACTCACCAAACAAAACATGCATCCATAGAGTTGAAATCAAAAGTTGAATTTGGAACAGACAATGCCTACTCATATGCACTCAGAATGTATTTAAAATTCTCAATAAAACCCAGACAATCAAAAGTATTGTTTATATTCTTATAAATCTTAAGGTTGCGTAGCAGATGTAAGGGTGAGATGATTACCCTGTAACCTTCAAAGGGCTTTTCTATATGTTGCCAATTATTGCTTCTCTGTCCTATTGTACAAAACCTATCATTTTCAAAATATTCACTGGATGATTCTGTGAATATGCTACAAAGCTGTCTATTCTCGGCGAGAATGGAGCTGGCAAGTAAACTAAGCAATCGAGGTAGTCGGTGGTTTGGCTGTGATTCGCACTTCAATGAGTTGTCATGCCGCCCTAACTGTCATGGGTCTCATGTACTTTTGGCCTAAAGCAGTTCATGAGGAAGTTGCGTCTCTGTAAACAAACAGATCTGTGAGATAAAGTGTGACTGAAGAAGAGGTTCACTGATAATACAAAACAGGGACCTACAACTTAGATAACGCTGTAGCTGCAGTTTAGGAGAAGCCCACCTTTTTGTTTCGAAGTTTAGGGGAAACTTTCAATTCTAGCTCTTCAACCCGAACGCCTTCTCCAAAGTGTTGCTTCTGATCTTCAATGGCCTTGTTTACAATCAACATTTCCTTCTCCTCCTCCACCTTTTCCGCGATAGTACGTACACAAGGGCCAAAAAACTTAAATAAGTAAGAGAAAGTAGGCAGAGAACACATATCGTCAAATGCACATACTATTAAGTGTCATTGAAGAAACGTGGGATAATAGTACTGACCTTCAGTTTTCCTTTACAATCGTCGAGGTGAGCTGGACCAAACGTATCACTAACACCAATCGCACCATCCACTGCATCGCGCTTGGCTTGAAGGACCACCTGCAAGTCAAAATGTTTAAAAAATCCGCAGCCACAAACTCTGCTTTCACGTACAATTGTGAGCAAGGTTCACTATCATATATGCTTGATAATGAAAAGCATTTTTTAAGTGCCTGAAAAACATATGTTTTACTAGATTCAAATGTTACACAGTCGGAAAAACAGGACAACATGACCAAAAAAGACAGCAGAGAATATGAAAAAATAGCTAACATCGACTTCAAGTGATAAACTGTGAACATTGGCAAGGTTATAATTGTTACCTTGTCAGGGTTCTCAGTATTGGCAAAACTATCGTCATCAGCTTCTTTTTTTGAGTTCAAGAGGGTAACTGGGAGCCCAGGAACACAAGCGCCATTCATCACGAAAGCGTCCGGCCGACCAGTCTGCAAGGTTTCAATTGACGTTCGAAGGCAACCTAGTTCATCGTCCTTCGCCAAGGCCTCGTTGATCATGTGCGAGATAATTGCAGCATTTCTTTCGGTTTTTTGCACCAAAGCCTCCTTCTCAGTCGACATATCTCGGGCGAGCTTCTTCAATGCCTTCATCTCCTTCATCTTAAATGTGCATGCACAGGCCAATCAGCTTCAAATTAGATCCATCATAAACATGCGATGGCACGTGACACATATGCCCACTCAATATGCACACCGTAAGATATTGAAAGCTACCTTCTCGGCAAAGATTCGTTCATCCCTCGCAAGATCTTCGGACGCTTCCCTGAGTGCCTCGTCTTTAGCTATCACGTCACTTTCTATAGCAGCGAGTCGCTCTTCCAGGACCTGAATAGTCCGCAAATGTAGGTTGATGATGTTGCGAGCACCTCGGCTAGCTTGACCTGGAGACGTACAATTCATACTCTGCATTGAATGAAAATCACAAATACTTCAGGTTAGCGGACGACTCGCGCATAATTATTGCAAGATGCAGAAGTATAGCATCGAAAAAGTGTACTTACCTTTGCCACTGTTTTGGGAGGAAAAGCTAATTCGATATTGGAAGGGAAAGATGGGTCTCGGATAGATGCGACGGCTTGGCTATCATATAGTCGAGACCTGGCCCAACCATTTAATGTATTGTTGCATTCTTGAGGCATAACCCAGTCAGTAGGATAGCTGATACTCTTCTCGCTTTCTCCCGTTGCAGCATCAGAAGTAGCGGGCCGGTCTAAGCTGCAAAATGAACTTTCACTCGATGCAGCACCTGGACCTTCGTCATCAATCTTGCCCAGGACTCGCATCACCATTTCTGATAGGTGGCTCCTAACCACGGAACTAATGTCATTGCCATTCTCCCAGTGTGGCACCACTTGCATCAAAGCAGTTATTTCAGAGTTCACCTCGTCCAATCTCAGCTGCAGCAACAAAAACTTGGTGGGTATCACGTGCAAATTAACTGTGAAGAAACATTAAGCACCCGATCGCGTCATGAAATTGCAAATTAGCCAAGTTTGAGGATAACACACACTACAAGACACATGCGTGGACCGTAAATATCCAACCTCATAATGATCGCGTTCTGTGCGTGTTTGCAACATCTCCTCGCGGAGATTGCTGACTAACGACTCCAATCCCTGCCACCACAATGCCACAGAAAAAAGAAAAATTAACCAACCAAGCTTCACAATGTAAACAATGTTAAAAAGAGACCTTTTCTTCATCTCGTGACCATCTGTAGGATACCGGAAACCATACAGACAAACACATAACAGAACAGTGTGGCAGGTGAGAAACACGCTCCACTCTAGCATGTAACTGAACGGATTGAACACAATAAATTACATATAAGTTATTTAGAAATAATGTTACCTGTATCTCATCTTTCAATTTAAGATTCTCCTGCTCCGTTTCTCTACTCTTCCGACGCAAAGCATTGAGCTCCGCAACCACATCCATATTTGCGTCTGCCCGTGCCCTACATGACCACGACATGAATATCCTTAGAGCATTTTCCACGGACCTAACAAGTCGCAGACACCAGTCTCCTAGAGCATCCGTCCAAACTTATGAAGCTTGTTTTCATGACAGTATTGATGATAACTTTATCACTTCACAATCAAAAGCTTAGATATAAAAAACAGACAAAGTGAATGTTAGGCGTTCTGTAGAGGATCGTGACATCGACGCTTAAGTGCTCAGATCTTGGAATTCCAGTGTAATTGAATGACCAATCCAGTACTTTCTGGGGTCTAAGGTAGAGTTAAAATTACACCCTTCCTCACTCGGTAATGCTCAAAACATCATTCTCAAGTTACAAAACTCAGCAAATCATGCTCTGTATCACTATTCGATGCCTAATGGTGTCGATATTCAATCAAACTCAGTGCCGTCATTCAGAAAGAACAACTCATTGCACAGTAGTAAACAGGACAAACCGAATATTAGCCAGAAACTCTCGATGTGATTCATCTTGAAGAAGAAGCTCCAAGCTTTGCGGACCACAGACAGGTACGAGCCCCATGTTGCGTATTCGCGAATTGAGCAACTCCAGTTGCAAAGCCTGTTCATGAAAATATAAACCCCTTGAATTGGATATTCACACTTCAAAGCCTCAGGCAAAATTACCTGCCACAAATTCAAACAATCTACACAACTGTATGATCAGTTAATAACATCCTCACCCGAATTTCTTGTCGCAGTTGATTCAGCACAACAGACTGCGGATCCCGATTGATCACGGGCTTGTTGCGAATGTTGCGAGCCCGGTTAGCATACTTCAATGTATTGAGCGTCTCCTCCAAGTCTGTGTCTGCCGTGCTGATAACACATTCACACACAAATATAAGTTGTGTGAGAATTGGTTGGACTCATCAAAATATGAGCAAAGTACAGTCAAAGAACTTACGAGTCCAGCTGGTCAACTACTTCGTTATTTTCTAGTCAACGGTAAGTACCTGATGCATGCAATCATACACGTGCGGCTGTTTCCACCTAGAGAGTCCTGGAACAAGCAGACACCGTGTACTGAGTCAATTGAACATAATCTACATAGACAAAACGATACGACCTCCTTTCTGTGAGCTTCTGTAATGACAGTATAAAGCCACCTATACAGTTTGGTCCGATGGTAAAAGGGTTGGCGAAAGACTACAACTTCGGGGGCTGAATCAGAAGTTTCTTATAGTTGGCAATCAAGAACAAAGAGACACACGTTGGGAAATGCACATTGGTAATCCTTAAAATAGAGACCATCCTCAATCTGGTATTAATGAGGAAATTCAAAGAAAGCACACTGCGGCTTACTGCAGTAAACATCAAAAGACTTCCGCAGCACAAAATGTGGCTACAATTTTTCGGTTAAACTAAACTTTGATGTAAGCAAACCTGGAGCATACGCGTAAGCTTGGACTCCCTATATGGCACATGTTGGCACCTCTTCCGTTCATCCCCCAGTGCACTACACTTGCAAACAAGAAGCTCAGATGGTATCTCCTGAAAACAAGTGCATCGATTTGCTCATGCAACAAAAAGGATCGAATGGAAAATTTTCAAAGAACCCATCACATGCTGCTTCAAGGCCATCGAAGGCATATGAAGCGAGAGAATCAGTGAAATAGTGGCATCTGACAGATAATACCTTATGACGTTGCCAAGAGCAAGAAGACCACAGTTGATGGTGACAGATTCTTTGAACCGCATGCCCACAGCACCCGTACGCTTCACCCTTTCGGATCCTGCCAAGTCAACCTGCGACACCTCAATATCTCGTAAGCTTAGATTCACAGAAAATCCGGCACAATGCTTACTTCGTGCAGTGGTGACTTACGCACACATAGTCTCGTCTCAGAGATGGCTCTCTGGAACTCTCTGACCACCATCAGTTTTGTAATGCTAGTGCAGTTAGATTACGACATGGTTGCGCATGTAGAAGAGTAAGTTGCTGTTGCGCGACTCACCAGGTGAAACTTCGCCGTGATGACATCATTTCTAGAAGCACATTCTAGTATGCTCCGCTGCTCGACGATGATAGTGAAGATAGCGTGTGATCGGCTCGAATGCTGGTTCATCAATGTACTTCCTGTGGTGCGAAAGACTGACCCGTATTCAAGAAACCTGAAGAAATGGAGAGATAACACCAAGGGTCTGAGGCTGGAACAAGATTCAATGTGACCAAGGAGTAAATCACAGATTTTCCAACTGAGTGGAAAGCGAAGAACAATAGATCACTAGATGAATAAGTAAGTCATCTCAGAGGGTTCTACTTGACATTTCAGGCACTTCCACACCCCTCAAACAGCCCAGCGTGCAGTATCTAAACAATGGCAAATACTTCTGTTTCACAGTCATCAATTGAGTTCAGCGCTATACTTAGCTGATTAGCAACTTTGTGACAAAACCTAAAAAGGCAATTACGCACTTTATGCTTCACGAAACCTCGATTAGGCCCTACCACCAAAACAGATATGGGTACCTGATCATGCTCTTAAAATTTGTGACTTCTTCCTCCCGGACGCCCGCAAGTATTATGTCGCCATTCGCATCTTCGCGAATTGAAATGGCTTTTGGTGGCGTATCTGGGTGAAGCAAGTCCTTAATCTCATCGTTATAAATCTCAACAAATGCACACTTGACCTGCAAAAGCATCCATGATCCACTTCAACCTTGACGCTCCATTTAAGCAGGCTCAGTGCAAAAGCATTGGAACCAGAAAACTTAACCTCAAACGTCATCATGCAAAAAACGTCACACTTCCAAGCATTGACCAGATACAACATAACTTATGTGAAAGTGAAAGTAGATTTTCTAAATAGCTTTGACCAGAGTAAGAAGGAATACAAGGAATTCAGTCTCATGACTGCGCTCTTCTACGATCTTGAACAGCTGACGAATTGCCCGAGGCAAAACCCCAAGCTCCTCTTCCAATGAAGATGATTTGTTGCCACAGCCCATGGTGAAGGTTTTTCCGGACCCTGTCTGTCCATATGCCAAAACCGTCGCATTGTACCTGTGCCAGGGGAAACTCCCACATCAGATTTCCTCACACTAATCCAGACCAATGATACAAGTTGGACGCTCCCAGGTTACTGAAGTTGGACTGTGTCAACGCTCCGAATATACTCAACCAGAAACCAATGACCACTGGGATTGTAGTTGAGTGGCCAATGAAATGAGGATAGGACTGTCACCAAGCATGATATACTCGATACGTCGATCTAGATCTCTAAGCCTATATCATAGGATACATAACTGCACCGTCCTCAGCAAAGCTATTAGAGGAACTAAGACAGGAGTCCAGAAAGCCAGGGAAAGGAACATTCGATTTAGCGAGCTACAAGTGGATCAATTGAAACCTTAGTAAAAATAATCTCTCAAACAATCTCTTAGGCACATGAGTCAAAAATTCGTCCAACCAGCCCGTTCAGTTTCCTTTTCCCTCACTAGAGAACAACTTCTTCCCTTCATACTTTCACGACACTAAAAAGAAGAAATACCTATCGTCCTTGTTCTTCTCCATAACTGTGTTAAAACTAACTCAACACCTAGCCAAAATGATTCAAGGCTGGACTAGTGCCTGCTTCAGAGTTAGAAGTTAGCTGAGAGGCACGGGAGAAACTAGCACAGGATGCCGCGATCAAGAATCCAGCCAAACGCGCGGGGGTATGTTTGCTTACCCAGCGCAGCAGCTTTCGACCAGGGGCTTGACACACTCGTTGTAGACATCTTCCTGGCTGATGACGGGGCTGAAGACGTGATCAAAAGTGAACCGACGACCTTTCCCTAGGACAACTTGCTTCCTATCTTTCGAATAGAAGACGCATTCCTTGCTATTCTCAGCAATCTCCTTTTGGATCAGCGGGCGCGCACGTACTGCCACTCGCACTGACGAAGAGTCATCGTCCTGGACCTGTGAATCATGATGTGAGGGCGACAGTGACGCAGTCATGATAGTCGCACGAATGCCGCCGCAGCAATCGCAATGACTTCTCCACTTTTCCAAACAAGCATTATCCCTCCTGCAATTTTGTTGCCATCGCCCACAGTGCCCTCATACCCAACATGTATCAAGATGTAAAAGACGATATTGTTAATGCTGGCCTCTCTTATCACACCGAAAATCTTCGAACTTGCCGCGTGAAATCCAAACGAGCTGCACCTACAGACACACTCGAATGATATCTGGGAGAAGCGGAGTAATGACAACCTCCTGGGCACAACCTGGAATTTTGCTAAAATAAAATTCTCCTCCAAAAATGTGTGATGAAAGAATCACCCTGGAACAACAAGGGGAGACGAGGAGGGCTTCGAAACTTGTTGAGGAGTGGATGACGTGAAACACCTCACCCAGATAGGAAACAGATACAAACACGCCGTAGAATAGCTGGTGGCACAACTGCTTGTATTTACAATATAAATGGTGTCATGCAAAATGCTTGACGCATGACAGTCTTCCAAGAAAGCAGTCAGATATCGACACGGAAAGGTCAGACATGATCGACACAGACTTCGACCCCGCACCACCTCAACACGACCCTCGAACTGATCGCGCCAAATCCGCAATCTCCCTCCACACTCAAAGCTATCCTAAAAGCACGCTTATCCTTAAAAAGGAAACTCATTCACAAGGCCATCTGCGTCCAACACCCTCCTCTCTATGATTGGTCATCCGATCACCTTCCGAGCACAACGACGAAACTTATCAAACGCGACAGGCATGGGACCTAACATCTTCCAAAACACCATGATTATGGCCTATTCAACTTGAACCACGGTGGTCTATGCTGAGGTGGGTTCTGTAGCTTGGAAATGACTGCAAAAGAAAGACAGGATCAAATGAAGGGAACAAATGGCGGAGTAAAGTAGCTAAAATCAACTAATCTGAATCTCCCACAGGTACGAATGACCATGCATCACTCTCCGCTGCTCTCTACCCCTCTTTTCTAACAACAGATCGAAGTAAGCCCGCGCACCCACCACGATAAAGGCTTGTTTTCCAGAGGATCAATTCTCTCTCTCCCTGCATGATTTCAGCAGTGCTACGCTTCAATGTGTTATTCCAAGTTGCACCTCGGCGAGAGCATCTTACCCCAGCTTCAGCATATACGCCTCCTTCTCTAGGTCTGATGAAGGAAGGCTTTCAATACTCACTGAATGCCTCCACTTTTTCGTCGACCCACTCTGCAACATCGTCGTCCATCTTCACAATCTCGTTCTTCGAAATTCTACGGAATGACTGAATGGATGAATGAATGCACCCTACCTTTTAGGCAACCTCAGAAAAATCACAGTGGCATTAATGCGATGGTACAGTTAATATCGACGCTTGATCCAGCCTGCCCGCATTGAGGGCCGACACGGTAAATGAGATCACACACATACACACACACTTATTCCCCTATTGGAATAAATGCGCGATTCCAAAGCGTCGCGTCGGTCGTGTGTGAACACGCACCGCGGCGTGGGTCGTCAGAATCTGATTCTCGGGTGCGACTGCACCGTGGAATTTCCCTCAGAAGTGTTTTGAAGCAACAGCAAACCGAGGTCATCGATGTTTCTCTCGCAAGACCGTGAAAGCGCCAAAGCGGTTGCCATGAAAACAGCCAGACCACAGGTGGTGGTGGGGGTGGTGGGGGTAGTGGGATCATGCGTCCCCACCAACCCCTCGAAAGCCCCACCGGCAGGCCCCGCACGCGTGAGCCCTACAACTCCATCAAGCGCGACATACAAGCGATTTCATCACTGATTGCAGGTGAAAAGCTTGTGAGGGGTGGGTCAAATCAAAACGCACAGTGTAACTGCGACGATGGAAAAGCCCTCACCTCATTCACTTTCACTGGTAACATAACACAAAGACTCGAATCACACAACACAAACAACAAACAACAAACGCCGTCAGCAAGAAGACCATAATTCTTCAACATTGTGTTCCTGGTTTCACGGCTTCCTTCCAAAAACGACGAGCTCATCGTCGTCGTCGCCATGAAAGAACGCTAAACTTCTTCAACACCAGCAAATGCCCTTTTCTGTGGCACATGCGCCCAAGCGCATCTAATCCTCTTCCTGCTCCTACTCCTCCACTCTCATCTCGGATTCCGCGACGTCGTGCTCGCATCGCATCGCATCGCTGCATTATGGATATAAAATTTGACTTACTTGAGAAAATATAGGATATTGAAATATATTTTCATTGAGTTTTGTAACAGAGTCTACATATTTTTAGTAAAAACTCTGAGTCGTTTATATGGTGTTGAAACACAGTATATCGGCCATTTAATTAATATTTTATAAAAATTTAATAATCTCTTTATTAATATACATAATAAAAATATAAAATTAATAATAATCATTTACATCCATGTTAAAAAAATCATTATGCATATATTTATTTATTTATTTATTTATGAAATCAAAAATCAAAAATCAAAAAATAAATCATCCTTTGTAGAAATCACTGATTTTGATGAAGCAATGCAATGGCTTAAATCAAAATTTTGATTTAATACTTCATTGTACAAGTTCTTTGAAAACAATAACTTTTAGAGTAACTTATCATTGAAGAAGTTTATACCAGTAATCGTCCAAATCACATTGCTTTGTTGAATTTCAAGCTTTTATTTTTTCTATTTTGAAGAAATGAGGCTATTTAGTTCATTGATATTTTAAGCTTTTGATATAAAAAATTGACCTGAAAATTGACAAAGATATTTTAATTCAATTTATGTAGATTTTATTATATTTTTTTTAAATACTTTAATATTGTAATATTATAATATTAATAAAACATATTACAATATTAAAGATATTACAATATTAAAGTATTTAAAAACAATATTGTTTAACAACAAAAGTTATCTCTAAAGAAGATTCAAACAATACAAGAAAAAAATATATACCTAATTGATGTTGTTGAAATATGTTAAATTTATATTTTTAGTAAAAACCAAGAGATCAAAAATAAAATAAACCTTAATTCGAACCAATAAAATTCTATATATAAATATAAAGTGTATATATATATACATACACACAAAGAACTTTGGAAAAAGAAACATAGATTTATTGTTATTATTATTATTATTATCTATTACAAGGTACTGTTTTTTCGTTCTTTAAATATCAAATCGTGCAGTTCAAAGTGCTAAATTTACAAATTTCATATTTAATTTACTTTAAAATTGATCAAATATTTTTTACAAATAATAAATAATTTTTACTTTAACAGAATTTTTTTAATATTAATAAAAAATCATTAAATATATATATCGTTGATTCTGTCTTATATTTAGTTGATAAAATTTTATATATACTGATGAAAATATTATTTTACAAAATGTAGAGTCAAAAGCATTTAATGAAAATATTTTGAGAAATACTTGTTATTAAATGTTTAAATTTACAGTGTGAAATATATGTACCATTGTTTTGTTTTATAATAAGTACCCTACTTTATCCGAGCAATGTTGCACTTTTTTTACTTTAATAGTTGTCCTTGCAAAACATCTTAATTTATTCTTAGAAAGATACATTATTTTAACTATACTCATTAATCAGATCTTTAATGATGACTATAGCTTTGGTTGAAGGAAAGATCAGGGATAATTTATAAATTATGAGATGAATGGGTAAGGTCAAAAGAAATAAGTCGCCATTGAATTTTTATCTATTTTTAAGTTCTAAGGTCATTTTTAAGAGGATTTTAAGGTAGTTGGGCTTGTTTTTTTATTGTGAGATTCTGGAAAATTGTGCATGTTCTTCTAACCTCTTATATATCTTGGTGGAGATAGGCAATCATTTCAATGGCCCACCAACAATTTCAATAAGTATGAAGTGCTTGGTCTTACATGAAGTTACATAATCTAGCTAAGGTTTTGGTGCATTGTTGTTTTATTTGCTAAAAAAAGCTTGATTATTTGTGAATCTATTGAACTTTTTGTTATCTTTTATTTTTTGAAAGAAACAAGCCATGGTGTTATGTATGTGTGTATATATAGATATATATAAGTATTAGGTGTTACTCTTTAATTATTATCAGTCCTAAAAAAATGTAAGATTTGATCAAAGATGTATATTATTAGTTTAAAGGTATTTTATTAAAATGATAAAAAAGTTGTCATAATTTCCATTCAAGTACAATGTATATAGAAATATAAGAAATGAATCCAAAATATTAGATCATAAATTGGTTTTGACTAAATCTTTTATTTAAGATTATGCAGTGATACATTTGCAATTAAAATCGATGTGACATTGAATAATTTTATTAATAAAAAACTGTGATTTTTAATTTGAGAAGGGTATGAGAGATTAATAAAAAAAAACAAATAAACAAACAAGATAAAGGCAAAACAAATAGAAATATATATGGACATGTCAGATAGATTAGGAAGAAAAAATATTTAGAATATTTGAATATATATATACATACATGTGCTATTTTTGATTCTTTTAATTTATAGATTAGCTAATTGTTACAATATAAGTCTTTAAAAATTAATATTCACAAAGAGTAAATATGAATGCAAAAAATCTAATATAATACAAATATTATAGACAAAATCAACAAAGTAAAGTGTACAAATTTTAAAGAGAAGATATTTGTTAAGAATACTAATATTTAACTCAAATATTGAGACTCAATTTAGTATACTAAATGTATATGTGTGTTTGTATAATAAAATCAGAATATTAGGTATATATTAAGAATTCATTCAAGATTCTCTATATGAATCTAAAATATCAAACAGACTTAATTTCATGGATTTCAATAAGGAGATTCAAACTCAAGGTTTTTGGATAATATTTCACCCAAAATGATATCCCAAAGTATCCTATGATATTTTGAAATATTACTTAATACTTCAAAATTACTCACCTTGCAAGGTAGGTGATTTTGAAATCTAAATATCAAAAGAGGGGCAGTGAAATATCAAAAAATTCCTTGCTTGCCTTAATTGTCTTCCCTCTTTGACTCCATACCACATTTTTCTTTCACTTTTCCGAATTACAAAAATATCAAGTGATACTTCAAAAACTTGAAGGGGATAATAAAGTTTGAATGGCGATAGCTTGGGAGGTGATATTTTGAGTGATCTATGATATTTGGTTACTCAAAAACCTAAGTTTGAATCGCCTTCATACAAAGACAAAGATAGATGTATTTTGGAGAGTTTGTAATATAATAAATCTACAAGTAGGAAAATACAACAATACATGAAGTTTTGATTTAAAATCAAAGCTTAATATGCTATGAAAATAATATCATCCTAAAGAGACATTTAGTGAAATATGAATCAAATAAAAAGATATCATTTATTAAAAATAACATATGTCAAATACATATTTTTACTATTAAAAAATACAAATCTATCACAAAAATAATGGTTTTATATTAATAATAAATAATATATTTTTTAAAATCTAAAATAATAAAATTTTGAAAAATATACAAAAACTTAAAAACCAACTTATAGACAAATAAAAGATATAAAAAAGGTTTTGAATATACATTTTGTTAAGAAATATATATTAATTTTTGCATTTGGGATAAAAGACCTAAAATTCTCAATTTTTTTGGAGATTAAGTTTGAAATAATAGGTAATTACTAAATTTTATGCAAGTATCACATGCAGAAAAAAAAAAATAAAGAATAAAAAAAGAAAAAGATAATCAAAATTCAAATCAAAACATAAACCTATGTGATGTTACATTAATTGAGTTGTATAATATGAAGTGTTTTTTTGTTACCAACATAATTCTACCAAAATATTTTTGTAGCACAAGGATTAAGAAATAACTTCACCATGATTGTAGATTTATAAAAATCCAAAAACAATCAATAGAACAATGTCAATTCTTAAAAGACTATTTGATTTATTTTGACATAGAAAATACTTATTATCTTAAGTTTAAAATTTGATTATTATTTCTATCTACTCAAGAAAAATTACAAGAAAAAAATATGATACATTGTCAAAACTAAAGATTATTTTAATAATTAAATTATAGTAATATACTTCTAATGATTACAGGTAGAATTCAAACAAAGATGGTTGTTTAAAAAAATGTTTGAGATATTATTATATTCAAGACAAGAAAAAATAAAATTTTATAAACCATAATTATATTATTCAAATTTGAAAGATAATTAAAATTTTATTAATTCTAAGAAGGTAAATATTTTATTTTATTTTCAATATAACTTACTTGAATAGTATAATTTATTCAAAAAATAAATTAGTAATTTAAAGTATTATAAAACCATTAGATAGCATATTTAAATACAAAATATTAATTTCTTAATTTTTTCTAAATATAACTAATTATCATCAAGTTTTTTTTATTAAACTAAAAATTATTCTTAAATACTCACAAAAAATTAAAATAAGTAATTAAATAATAGTATTAATAAATTGATCAAAAGTACCATATATATAATTTCACATTACATGAGTATTTATTTTATTTTATTTTAAATTAAAAATATTTTTAAAACTTTAATGTTAGTTTTACATATATTAGTTTTTAGAAGGTAAATATACAATTATTAATCAAAAAATGATAGAATTATAGCAGTATAGAAAATTCAGAAAAATATAGTAAATATTTAATAAAATATATATTAAAATTTCATAAAATATTTTAAATTTTTATTTATTTATTTTTTAATTTTAGATATAAAAAATATATTTTTATTAATAAATTATTATTATTAGTATAAAAAAATATGTCATACAAAATTTTATGTTCTTAAAATAATTAAATTTGAATAAACTAATATGAATGTTGATAATTTGTATATAATATGTATCTAAGTTAAAAAGACCTTGTATGTATAAAGAAAGACATTAATTGCAAATTCGAATAAATATCTACACATAATATATTGTTTTGCTTTGATCATGGTGACAACTATGTAAACAACCAAGTATTCTAAAATTTCGATGCATGTCCAAGCATGCTAATAGTCACCGATCATGATTATTACAAAACAAGGGAATTTGTTTTTAGACATAGTGTACCAACTTGATACACTAGAAGTGTGATATTCCACTAACACAACATATATATATATATATATATATAGTTATATACATATACATAAGTCAAATTTGTCAAAATATTTGAATAAGAAGAATCTTAGATATTTAAAATCTAACTAAATAAAAGTTAGTAAATAGAACTATAACTATGGAATTACAAGATTTATTTATATATTTATGTTTGCAATCAAATTAGAATTTTTTTTTTTTTTTTAAAAAAAAAAATCTTTTGTAGAAATAATATTTTCAGATCCAAATATAATAAAAATAAAACATAATGTATTACAATCCTAAATACATAGTAAGACAAGTTTATTATTTAAAACAAAATACCTATTTTTTAAAATCACTATCAATTTTAAATCTCAAATGCTAATAAAGTATGAATTTGTTCTATTATATATTATAATATTTATTACAAGATAACTTGGGTATAACACAAACAAACAAAGAAGCCTTTTGATTGACCTTGAAGAAGAAAATGTAGAGAACACAAGGAACTAGGAGATATGGAAATTAGAAAATATAAGAACCAAAGAATATAGAAACAAGAAAGCATGGATGAACAAGAGAATAGATAGATGTGCCAAGAATTGCAATTCCCAACAACTAGGATTTTTTCTAGTATATATATCTATATATACATAAAATATTGATGATATTAGTAAAAATGTTTAATCAATAAAAAAATATTCTAAATAAAAATTTAAGAGAGTTAAAGATAATGAAAATTTTAATTTTATAAAATTTAAGATTATTTTAGAATATATAATTATATTTAAAAATATTATAACTTATGTCTTATATCTATTTAAATGTAATTTTTTCTTTAAAAAATGACTTAAATTAATAAAATGATCTCAATCATCATAGAAGGTAGTACAATAATTATGGAAGTTATTGAAATAATTACATATAACATTTGTCACTTTTGTCGTTATTTAACATTGTGATAGTATATAATGTGCCATAATCCAAAAGAAATATTAATAATCATAAGTTTCTAAATTTTAGAAGACATATTTGTATATTTTTACCAAACTATTCCAATCACATGTGATTGAATGAAAAAAAAAAAAAAAAAAAAAAAATGAACTAATAAGATTATTTTAATTAATCTATTTAAGCCAAAAGACAATTATAGATTCATTTAAAAAAAAATCATGATACTATGTTATGTGATGACTATTAAAATTTAATAGAAAATTAATTTTAAATTTAGTCATACATTTATTGGTATTAAATATAAGATTATATGATCAAATTTAAAGTGTTTCCAAAATAAAATTTTATCATAATTCTTCAATAGGTTGACACATTCAACTTTTATTGAACTTACAAATCATATTTTATTTTTTTAAGAATTGGATTTAATAATCACACAAGATAGTATTTAAAGAATGCTAAAATATTTATTAAAAAATCATATATTTTGTAATCAAGTTTCACTATAAAATCATAACATTCTAAAATGCATAATAACAACAATAATAACAAGGCTCATAGGCCTTTACCTTGTTAGTTATTTATATGTTATTATTATTATATATATATAGATATACTCCTATTTTTATTATTTTTTGATATATATATATATATATATATATATATATGATTTGGTCCATATAAAATGATATATATATATATATATATATATATATATCAATATAAATCAATCCAATCACATATAATATTTGTATAATGTACAAATTTTAATTGCATGACCAACAAGATATTTGCACATGGTTGGTTAACATAACCATAAATACATTGGATATGGATAATCTATGTACGTTTTCAAACAAATAAACTATTGTATTAAGAGAGTACTTTATTACCATTTTGTAACATCTTTAAAATCTCTTTGTCAACTTTAGACTACACATTGCAGTATATAATTAAATTCAATGTATAATACAAGTTATAAATGTACTTTAAAATATTTATTATAAAATAAATTAGATTTCTTTCCAATAATTTGATAAGAATCCCATCTTTATAATTTGGTTTATAATTTACAAATGAATTCTTAAGGAATGGATAGATTTATTAATCATAGTTTTTTAAGATTTAGTGTAGATTAGAAGTATATTGATGCAAATATAGATATTAAGTCAATTTGAATTAGACATATCCATACTGAAACAAAATTCAAATAGGCTTATTTAGAGTTGTATTAAGCAGTATTCTAAAATATTATCATAATTTGTAACTAGAGCTACAAATTATGTAAATTTTTTTTATTCTATAATAAGTTTAAGATATTCAAATTGAGAAGAATCAACACATGACTTTCTTAGTTTGCAAACAATTAATGTTCAGTTTATATAAATAATAAACATAGATATATATTTTTATTCACAATTCAACATCATTTTTTTATTTTATTTTTTTTTTTTTTCCACAATGGTTAGAATGGTGGGTCGATTTAACATTATTCTAGAAATAAAATAAATTATAAAATAGAATAAAATAAAAGAAAAGAAAAAAAATAAACATTACACAACAAATCACAAAAAAAAAACATTTCCATTCTTTTTCAAGGAAAAACAAACCAATCAAACCCAAAATAAATAAATAAATAAATAAATAAATAATAGAATGAAAAATAAAATCTTACAACGTCACCCACAAGAACTCCAAACCAAAAAACCAAGCAAACACAATACCACACCACCGCATCTCAAGACGAACAACGAAGCGCGCACAAGAAGGAGAATATTTCAGAATGGGAGAAAAGCATTAAAAGATTCCCGAGGGCGACCGCACGCGACGAATGAAGAAGGCTAGCAGAAGTCGCAATTTTGGTGGGGCTATGGCGGAAGAAGAATTGCGACCGAGAGAAAGCGAGCGAGAGCGACAGAGCGGGGTCCACAGTCACGAAAAGAAAAAGGGAAGAAGAAAAAGAAAAAGGGAAGTAGGAGGAAGGAGAAGGAACGGGGAGGGGAGAGAATGGAATTAGGTGTTGCCGTGCCATGCCATGCCATGCAGGAGGAGAGGAGACGAGAGGATTTGAGGATTTAGAGGATTTGTTGTTGAAGAAGAAGAGCGGGCCCTGCGTGGATCCTCCTCCTCTTTTGCGCGCTTGTTGCGTTCTCGCTCGTGAGCGCACCTCCTTTGGTTTGGTTTATTAGATGAGTGTTGGGAGGTGTAGGGTTAGTGTTTACGACTCTTTTCCCCTTACTTTGTTTGTATGTGAGCGGTACCTTGTATATGGTTTACCTTGTGTAGCATTAGCGGTTGAGGTGCGACGCGTGATGCGTCACCATGATTTCGCAATGGGCAACGAAGCGGCTGTGCAAATTCGCCATGAAGCACTTGCTGGGCCGCATCCTGCTCGATGAACTGGACCTGGAGCAACTTGACGTGCAGATTGGGTCTGGGGTTATCCACTTGAAGGATCTCAAGCTTAACACCAGCTACTTCAATGACCAGGTGCAATTCGGTGAATTCTCATGAGTTTTTATTTGTTTTTGTTTTTTCCTTGTCTGAGAGAGGGTGAGAGAATCGGAGAGAGCCGTAAGCGGCGGGCGGGCGGCGGGGTGTGTAGAGATTTTAGTTTTTGAGAATTTTTGGTGATTAGTCGTTGTTATTGGAATTGTACTTGTTGGTATAATTTGGGCCGGGAAGTGATGCCGCTTTTTTCTGTTGTGGTTTTTTTGGCTTGTTTTGAGAACAGTTAGGGGATGTCTTGCCGGTGGTGTTGAAGGAGGGCTTGATAAGCATTGTAACCGCCAAGAATCTTTGGAGTATTTTTAGTAGGGATCAGCCGTGTGAGGTTCAAATTCATGGGCTGGAGCTTGTGCTTGGCCCGCGCCTGCGTTCTGGAAAAGCGAATGTAGAAAAGGAAGGCAAGGTTTCGGTAGCTGCTTCTGAAGGGGATGATGGAGATGGCCTTGAAGGAAGTGGAGAGGGTGAAACCACTTACATGGATATCGAAGTCGGGGTTCGTGCAATTGCCCAAATTGTTGAGAAAGTGCTTTTAGGGTTGTGTGTGAAAGTTACGAATCTGACCATAAAGTACGAACATCAACAACAAGACGATGGTGCGCAAGAACCTCATAATCCAGTGCTGGTAAGTTTCACACATAAACCCTAAATTAATATGTCGCAATTGTGTGATGTCGTTTCCGACCTACCAGGAATTGGACTTCAGTTTTTTCGTGAGGACATTTTTACCTGGCGTAGGTGTGCAGCCTAGCGTAGAGCAGGGTGTTTAAACAGGTCTTTATGTGACTCTCGATGCTTGACTCGCTCGAATTATATTCTACAGGATACGAAGTCGTTGTCGTCGTCCACGCTTGTGATTCGAGCTGGATATGTGGAATATGGTAACGAGAACACTCAATCTCAAGGCAGGACCACTGACCCACACATGGTAGTAAAACATATCACATTTAGAGAGTTCACAGTGGGATTGCTTCCACCTTGTAAATTTGCTGAATCGAAAGAGAAAATTACAACCAGGGACATGTCAGAGCATATGGTGCCACTACTAGCAGGAACAGATGGTGGTGGGGTTTGGGGCTCTACTCTGTTGCGGATACCCTTACGAGAAGGGTCCATGGATATTCCGAAAATCAACACGGAGTTTTTGGTTCAACCTTTCACGATCCACGCATCTATCTGGAAGATGCAACAAGTATTATCCTTGGTTCATTCTTTCAGTAATAGTAAGCGTGCTATGGTCGAGACTGGCATGGTCTCCGAAAAGAGAGGAGAACGTCTTGAAAGGCTGGTGGATATGTTAGCTACGAGATCAGCGGGTGGAGTTGAGGGTAGTGTTGCTGGTAGCTCGGTGTTTTTGCCAGCTACGACCTTCATATCAGACTGGATGCGATGGGGAGAAACAGATAGTCCAAAAACTTCAGGAGAAATGGCCGAGGCAGATTTGGCGGCCAGGTGAGACGTCAATTGCTGTTTGGAGTCTTCGAGTTGTAAGTTTCACTATTCAACAGAGAATGTGTAGCCGAATTTCGCTGGTATAGCTGTATGAGGCTATGCAGCGTAGTCTTAATTCCTCGTGAGATGATCCATACAGGTACCACTGGTGGAGCTAATTTAGGAGATTTATGTCGTGGGTTTGAGCCAGCTTTAGCTTCGTGAAGTTCATCGTTTTTCATTGTTTTTTTTGGACATGTGTTGCAGTGTGGATGAATTTTTTGAGTGCTTGGATACGGGCTCTATGCTTCTTGCCACAGGTACATTTTTCAGTGACTATACTATGGCTTTGTCAAGTATGCTGCGTTGTATTAGAGCTCTTGCTGTCAATAACCGACCTGAGGTGTTTGTGGTGACAAGACAGAATGCATGCTGCTTTTAGGCAGCACGCGTGAAAATTTTCTTTTACTCATGATGCCTCAATTCTTTGTTCCATCTAGCTCAGCATTGGGTTTGGATTTGCAGATGCCTGGAAACAGGTGGAATATGGTGTCAAAGCGAGATTCGTCAGTATATCGGTGGAGTTTGCCTACACGGATTCTATGAAGAGTTTTGACATTGCAGTTAAAGATACAGATGTTGAACAATTGCATCTAAATTTAGCTGGAGCCACTCTCTCTTTCGCTGTGAGTTCGCTGCCTTGACTCTGGCTTTCAGGATGATCTTAGTTTCTTATCTAAAGAGAGAGTATTATTCCTGCAATAGCTTTCGACTTTGCTTGGCGGATAGTGGAATTTGTGTGTTAAAACCCAGCTAATCGTTACTTATTTACATTGTAAGGTCCGTTTCTCCGTACTTTTTACACGGTAATAGTGTGATGCCAAGGCAATTGAGGTTACGTGATATGTTATTCCAAGAGCGTTTGGGGGAGATGTCAGTTTTTATTCATCCATTTGTTACATTTTATTTCGAATACGCCAGCCTTATTATATCTCCTTGTTACTCTTCCAGATGTCCGAAAAGAAGACTGATCTTAGTCTTTCTTTGGAAAGTGTTGAGCTTTGGGAAGTTATTTTGGAAGATTCAAATGATAGAAGCGCTGATTCTCCTCTTCCGAATGAGAAAGAGAACAGTCGCAGGATAGTTTCCAATCTTATTGAAGAAACGTTACCCCGTTATGATGTCAATCTGTACCCTGCTACGATGACGACTAACACGCTTAAAGGAAGACACGGTGAGATCAAGGAAAGAAATCAACTGCTTAGGATTATATCATCGACGACAAAAAAGGCTGTGCATGTTGGCCTGAAACTTTCCCGTCAAGGGATGAACAAAATTACTGCGGGGGAGGCGTCTTGTAGCCTGGATATCAACTCGATTTTTGAGCCAGTAGTGATGTGGGTGGATTTTCAGAGTATGCAAAGAATTACTCAACTACTGGGAGAGTTAAATACTCCTGAGAGCGGGCAGGAAGTTTCCAGCAGTCAAAGTGCGGTGTCTAGTTCAACTTCTGTACACTTCACGTCGTCCTTTTCATCTGTTCGTATTATTGCTGGTATTCCATTACCTCAGACAGCATGCGGTGGTAAATCCTCTGAAGCCTATTGTGTATTGGACTTGACTTCGCCATCTATGGACTTGCAATTCATGGGCAGGGTAACTGCCGATGGGGATTCTCTAGTCTCCGGGTTTGAAGATGCTACTGTATTTCTTGTCTCGAAGGTAGTGAACCCTCAACACGAGAAATTTCAATCAAGTGGAATATTAAGAATTAATCATCAGGGTGAAGTGGATGCATCAATTGAGGTTGCCTGGAAGAGGGCAGTTGAGACAGGTCCTTGGGTAGCCAAAGAAGCATGGGACGTGCCATTGGCACAGAAGAGAAGGGGTGATGGAGGAGGAGGTACAGGTAGTGGTAATTTTGAGTTTGTGGCTGCTGTTTCCGCTCAGGCTGAAGAAGTAGCAGACTCGCGTCTAAAACATAAGCTTATTAAGTCATCCTCCATCGTTGTCCAAGTCAGGTTGCCCTTCGTTGGGCTTCGCATGTCAAGATCTCAGTACTTGTTATTTGTTGAACTTTGTTCTACTTTTCAAAGCAACAAGTCTAATACTCGTGAGAAGAGTTTGGACGGTAGTGGCATATTTCCAACACCTTCAAGTACACTAGCTGCAGAGGGACTTCAAGTTCCACAAATAGCAGTGCTTGTGCGATGTGATCGGCTGGACTCGGCATTGGTCTTTAGTCCTCCAGTAAAAGAGGGGGTCGACGGCGGGAAACACTGGGAGGTCTTGCATTTTGATATTCATAAACTTCAGGTTTGAATGCCTCTGTTCCACCTAATGCTTATCTGATGTCTTTCATATCTTGACAGAAAACTTTGACAATGTCATTATTTCATTTCTCAGATGCATTGAAGGCAATACATCCTCCCGATCCGTTCTTGAAGTGCTGGATCGTGACTAGACCCGACTGTACATCATAGCCACTATAGTTTTGTACTAAATCTGCATTTGTTCTGTGGTAGGTTCTGTCTGTTTTACGAACGGGTGGGAGCCTTGATGCGTCCTACTTACGAGTTCGCCATGAAGAATGCCAAGTTTCAGGATCTCCGCCTGATAGATGGTTGTTACCCTTGCAAGGAGACACCGAGGAGATTCTCCTTTTCGCCTGTAGGAATAGTGCTTTGCAACGTGGAAATGGAGGGGGCGGTAATGTTCTTGCAGTTGGCACCGCTGGTATCTCTGTAACTTATGTGTCTTGGCCTGGCAGAGAAAAGCTTGCGGACAACTTCATCATTTCTAATGTCAAGGGGTGCACTACAGTTGCTTATGGTGGCCGTCTTGACTGGGTCAATGCAGTTGCTTCATTTTTCGATGTATCTGAAGCACTGACTGATGTTACTAGGAATAATGATACCGAACAACCACAATCTACTCCTAGTTCCAAGAATGAACTACGAAAATACTTTCTACTGGATTTGCATGACGCTGCTTTGGGTTATGAACCTGGGTTGGAGGCTCTTTCGGCTCCCGAGTCTTCAGCAGTTGCTTGTGTCCTGGCTGCTGCAGCAGTGCGAATTTCAAGTGGTGCAGGTCTTCACGTGAACCAGGAGCAGTATGATGTTAAGCTTCGTGATATTGCGCTACATGTGTTGGACTTGGAATTCAAAAAGCAGGCTCAGTTCACATACTCTACGGACTCCATGCAACAGACAGGCTTTGTTCAGGTACGTTCGACAGCTCAAATGGCTTCCTTTCTCTAATTGCATCTGTCTCAATTTTGTTCCACCTACTGATGTCTTTGGCTGTTAGTTCGCATGATATTGGTGTGAGAAACGTCAAGTTATTTTACCTTGGTAATTTTCATCCACCTCGTCGCTATCCTCTGAGTTGGTCGACATTATTCGCCATAAATATGGTGCATGAAGTGCTCATTGTGTGCATAATTTTGTGAGGCCTGGAGTCTTATGTTGTTTGGGCTGTTGTATGTTTGTACTTGAACCTTAACTTTGCTGTTAAAATCTGAAATTCATACAGGTTGCTAAGGAGACTTCTATGGGCGTCACTGTCAGGATTGGTGGTGAGGACAGCCAAAAGTGGGAAGTGGAATGCGGGAATAATGAAATATGCTTTGACACTTGCCACGACACTACTGCAGCATGTGAACGTCTTGTTGCCCAGTTACAACAGCTCTTTGCTCCTCCCTTGCAGCAGCAAAGTGTTCAAATCAAAATGCATAAAATGGAAGTGAAAGCAGCTGATGCCACTGAACCCCCCGACTTATTGAGCGGTGTTCTTGAGAATGCATTTATCAGTTTGCGGGAATTACAGACAGAAGCTCTAAATCTTGAATGCTCTGAATTGAGCAGCAAGGACGGTCAAGAACTTATCGAAGACTATGTCTCTGATCACACTTCTGGTGGTCTTTCTGAGTACTCGGATGACTCTTCATCAACTATAAATGGGTCTGTCAGAAATTTCTCTCGTGAGGGTCCCTCTGGGGGTGGTTGGTACGAAGGTAATGGACCTAACATCATGGAGAATCATGTTCCTGCAGAGAAGCCAGTGGTCAATCTAAGCCTTCCAAAGCGGTACCCCAAGCCAGTTGGCCGCGTAGTTTTGCAAAACATGAGTGTAAAATGGCGCCTTCACGAGGGTTCAGATTGGCCATTTGGTGATGAGGATCCTGATTGGAATATGCAGACACCTGTTGGTGATAGTACTCGCAAGCAAAGTGTTTGCCTTGAGGTGTTTCTTAACGGGGTGAACTTGCAGTACAATTTATTCCCTACAAGCGGACTGTATGCCTCAAAGTTGATTGTAACCGTTTTCAATTTTGGAGTCCTTGATTGCAGCCCCAAGGCTCCGTGGAAAACTGTAAGAATTCAGATCTTCCTTTTTTGTTTTCATGTTTTTATGCTATGATGAATTTTGCTACAGAATCTCTATGTAAAGGATGCTCAAACTAGGCCACTTCGATATTGCTTGTCGAGGCATACTTCTGATACGTTCAGAAAGTAATCTCATTTGGTCCTCTTATTGTGAGAAGCTTTTCACTCTACTTGTTGCCTCCCTCTATAATTGTAGGTTGTAGGCTATCACCATGTTGCATCCCGCCCACGAGAAACCTCATCGCAAGCTATCAAGATAGATATGGATGCTGTCCGACCAGATCCCACGGATGTATTAGAAGAATACAGGTTCATTATTTATTTGAAGTCCATCCTTTTGCTCGAACTGAATGTCTATCTAATTCAACCATGTTGTCTTATCTAGGTTGACACTGTTCTTATGGATTGTTTGTAGATGCCATAGGATGGTTTTGTTGGCCATGAGCTGGTGCACCCAGAATTTCAACGTGATAGTTTTCTTTCATCTATTAATATGTTTTTCCAATAAGTCTTTTCTTTTCCCTTCTTTTTTCAATTCTGAAGCTACTTGTTTCTTGATGCCTGCGTTGAAAGAAATATTTCAAGAATTAAAAGATGTAGTATTGCATGGAGACAGGGTATCCTTCGCACTTCTACCTATTCGACTTCATCTGGATCAACATCACCTGGATTTCTGCATGAAGTTTTTTTCTTCGCAGTTTAGTGCAAACCAGGGTACATTATTTGAGGAGAACTCAAATTTGTACAGAGGATCTTCATACGATTCCTCTCCTTCTATGGACTCCAATCTTACCGATTCTCCGACAGAACCATTATTACCATTTTTTCAGGTATTTCGATGCGTTATGTCCTGTCGTGTGTAAAGACATCTTGTTTGATCAGTTGTTAAATTCGCTTTTAATCCGTATGAAATACCTCCGAGCAGTAATTGTACCAGGTTCAATCGCCTGCGTGAGTTCTCTTTTGAATAATTTGTATGAAGGTCTTGTTTTTCACATTGAAGTCTATTCATACCGTGCATATTTCTAACCCGCTTATTGTGCCTTGATGATAATAGATGTTTGAAGTGCTTCCGTTCAACATTCGAATCGACTATAGTCCTCGGAGAATGGACCTGGCAGCCTTGAGAGCTGGAAATTTTGCTGAACTTGTGAACATGATTCAGTGGAAGGTACGCTTGTATTGTTTCCATTTTCCAAAGACTCCACTTACGATGCTCTGAACGCAATATCTCAACTAAACAGAGACTAAATGTTCTGTTATTGTGCAGGGGATCGAGCTCGACCTAAAACACGTGAAGGCTGCTGGTGTGCATGGAGTAGGCAGCTTTTCAAAGATTTTTCTCAACGAATGGTTACAAGATATCTTGCAAAACCAGATTTTCAAGTTTGTGCAAGGAGCTGGGCCCATTCGACCACTCTATGCTGTGGGTTCTGGCGCTGCCAAGCTCGTAGTTTCACCAGCGCAGCATTATTGGAAACAACAACATTTGCTTCATGACATTCGCAAGAGTTTCAAACGAGTGTCTTCCATGTGCAAGAGGGAGAAACGAGACTCCAAACCTACATGATATAGGACCTATCGCCTGATTATATGTAAAATTGTGTATTCTTATTGAAGTATATGGGCGGGATGTAGTGCCTGGCTTCTCTGTCCCAGGGCACATCCGGCCGAGTTCTGCTGTTCGCCGAGGCCGTCTGTGTACAAGGTTTGAGTTGCGCATGGTAAGCATTTGCACTAAAGCTTGATAACCTTGGACGTTTTCATTTTCTTGAGATTCAACTGTCTGAGGTGTATGATAACGATATTCTAGGAAGGCTGGCCCTTATGAATCCTTGGTGAGAACTCGTTGAAAAATGCTTTCTTGTTCTGAAAGGATTGATTGTACTGAAGTTTCGGTGCTTGTTTTTTTTAATGCAGGCTTGGCTGTTATACGTGACGGAGTTGGAAACATGGCCATGTTGAGCTGCTGGCGGGCTTGGCAGTTGTATAGGAATAGGCGATTTGAAGGTTGTAACATAGAATAGGTGTATAGATTAACTGCATCTTACAGGTCACTATCAATTTTTATCGAATTGTGAATATTGGATACTGGTGATAGATATGTTGTTGGGTTGTTACAAGCTTTACCTGATTTTCTGTAGGCGTTTCCTAGTTATAGTAGCTGTTGTTCCTCATTACCAACAACGTCGCGATTCCGTCCCAATCAATCATGTCAGATGTGGATGTCATGTCGCTGTTGGACCCTCGGATCTGTATGCCAATGCTTATTGCACTCTAGGGTCCTAAAGTTGTTGGACTCCATCTGTGTATTGATTATTGAAAGTACGAACTTACATCTTTTTACCTCTGTACACGTGGGATGGAAGCATGGAAGCCAGACGAGAGAGTGCTACAGACTCTGTTTCTATTGAATCTTCTTTGTAAGTTCTATCGAGTGATGGGGAACCAACCTATCTCTGTTTCTTTCAAAGCAGACTGACAAATTCAACACTTCATTCTATGCTACTGTCGCTTCGTACGTGTAGTTTCAGCGAGCAGTTCTCCTCTTAGTTTTCGTGCAACTGTTTCATACTTCCGGCCGTGTGTTGTTCTTACGTTGCAACTAAATGACAGCAATGGGTAAAATCTCTATCATCCTTTGGCTTGGAAGTTGATACAAATCGAGAGCTGACAGTATGAAGGAGAATTTTTGGAGAAAGCCCTGAATCTCCAAGTGTACAAAGATCCCTGTAGGAATCTGACGGCTTGGCAGTACCCAGGACCACCAACTTCAGAAACATCATTTGCACATCAACTGAAAATCCAATGGCCAAACAAACCTTCTTAATTTGAGACGAACCTCTTAAGTTCTTATCCAATATCTCGTATATCACGTCCATCAACTTTTTCATTAAAAGTACAGCTCCTTTCATACAATAACTCTCCCAATGATTAAACCTTCAATTTCTAAAAACCCACCCACGCTCAGTCTCACCTTTAATCAAACACATCATCGTGAAAAAAAAACAACCAATCCCCCCCCCCCCCAAACACACACCCAGAAATAACCCACTTTTTATGTAAAAAATGGAAAAGGGGGGGTGGGGGGTGTGTGTGAAGCAAGGAATAGCGAGCTTCACGAAAACATGACCCATCCAGGAAACCCTAAAACAAGACCTTGGAATGGTAAATTCAAAGAGAGTCCCCCCCCCCCCGCCCCCCAGTTCTCTGAAACCCCACTCGGCGAACGCGCTTTCCCAATCGATCGGGACCGTCGAAACCGAGGTGGTGAATCGACGGCCACTGCGTCCCCAACCGCAGCAAGTGGAGGAGCCTCAGCATCCAGGCCAGGCTTCTAGATCCGGTGCCCTAAAACAAGCCCCATCGGGACCGTCGAGGAAAGAATCGGACGACGGAGGGCGGGCCGCGGGCGAAGGGGGGGAAGCTAGAACAGTGGCTCTATGCCGCCAGCGAAGTATCTTGAGGAGAGGACCGCTGCAACCTCTATTCCCCTCCCTCGCTACTTCTCTTCCTCCCTCTCTGTCTCGCCTCTGCTGCTGTGTTCAGGCGTAGGGAAGGAAAGGAGAGAGAGACCCACTCTCTTTCGGTTCGGTTTGGGCCTGTGGTTGCTGCTCATTGCCTGGTCGTCTTTGCTAGCCACACGCCCTTTTCAATCATGTCTGACGACGAGCACCAATTCGAGTCCAAGGCCGACGCCGGAGCGTCCAAGACTTACCCCCAGCAGGCCGGAACCATACGCAAGGGCGCGCACCTTGTCATCAAGCAGAGGCCCTGCAAGGTATGCATATACCCTAGCGACCGTGGTCCTTTGTTTCGAAATTTTGGCTCTGGAGGATTAGTTGTGGTCCCCCCCTCTAGAGCGTGTTTTTGTTATTTTCGAGATGTGGGGTTTGATGTAGCTCAAATCTGGCGAGAGTCGTTTTAGTTAGTTTTTCCTCTTCTCGTTGATTTTTCTCCACGGAATGTATGGGTTCTCGTTATTCTCCTTATTTTTCTCCTGTGTGGTAGGCATAGTCTTGGTATGATGCGACGATGTGCGTATTTTTACGATGTGTCTTAGGGTTACATGGGTAATTAGGAGGTTTTTTTGTATGGTCTAGGTCATGTCGTGGAGCTGCTCTCTGCTAATGGAATGACATGGGTAGGTCTTAGTCCTTCACAGTAGTGTCTCTCTCACGCCCTAGCCGCTACGATGCGTTTCTTGGATTTCTCAAGACGACCCAGCTGCGCCTGCTGGGATATTTTCTGACACTTACTCCTGATACATTACAGGTTGTCGAAGTGTCTACTTCGAAGACTGGGAAGCACGGTCACGCCAAGTGCCACTTCGTCGCAATCGATATCTTCACTGGGAAGAAGCTCGAGGATATTGTTCCGTCTTCTCACAATTGTGATGTAAGATACCTTCACTAGCCGTCCATCATGTGTGTCATCGATTTGAATTTCATGTATCGAAACTCCCCCTGTTCTCATTCTGGACTTTGTTAACTTGCGTAAAATATGGTGTGCAGGTTCCTCATGTATCTCGTTCTGATTACCAGCTCATTGACATCTCTGAGGATGGATTCGTAAGTAACCTATTCTAATCACACATTTATTCGCCGTGGCGTTCAATCGGATAGTGCTCAAAGGATTGTAGTTGTGAACACTGTAGTCTGAGATATGCCAATGTTTTGTCCAGGTGAGTCTTCTCACTGAAAATGGTGTCACCAAAGACGATCTGCGCCTGCCCACCGACGAGGGCCTCCTGACGCAGATAAGGGATGGATTTGCCGAAGGCAAGGATCTTGTAGTGACTGTTATGTCTGCTATGGGAGAGGAGCAGATTGCGGCTCTGAAGGATATCGGCGGCAGGAACAACTAAACTCTATTATCACAAATCCAGCGTAGAGAGGGAAAATGTCACAGTTTAATGATGTTTTCATATTTGGCACTGTGGCCCACGATGTGTTATGTCATAGCTGATAATATTAGCGGGGAGCTTTGTGGACAATGCTTCAGTGTGCGACTCTAAATGTTCATTTTCTGCCTCGATGGGAAGGGAATGGAAGGGCTTATAGAGTGTACAAGCAGTTCTCGTGAGAGGTGACAAGACTCGTGGTGTCGACAATAACCTGAATGGAATTGCTGGGTAAAAAATAGAGCCCTATATGACGCGTTTACTGTTGGTTTTTTGGAACTATGGATTTATAAAGTATGCGGAATGTCCCAGTGGATTTTGTTTATCTGAACCATCAATCCTACATCTTCCATTACGATTAATTAACATTACCATCTTCGATTCCCCTACTGTTCGCCTATACTCCCACATACTTTTCCTAAGATGTCAAATTACACATTTTGGAACAATTTAGCGACCCTACTATTAACTCAACAATTTTACGTTAAACATTTTTAAAGTGTTAAACTGAGTAATTTCTCTACACACTCCATGCTTACTGCGCACCTCCATATGTCAATTACGACAAGATCTATTTACTGTTCCCTATCCAACTCATCACCTTGTTCCCCACCACCACCTTAACTATAGTTGGCACGAAATACTGATCAACAAAAACAGTAGATGAAATACTAATCCCATTCAACGTGAAATCCGAGCACGAACAAATTCCACATTCTACAGAAACGCATACCTGCCTTCGCAGACATCCTGTCCGCACTTTACCAGCCTGAAGAACACTCTTGCGGGAACCAATCTCGATAAATGACTGCCACGCATGGGAACCGAAGCACGAATCGTCACGGCTCCTTGGGAACCTCATGTGGTGAGCGTTCAGTGAGTGTAGTTTGCATCTGCATCGGCAAAGTCAAGGGAATCCATATGACGTAGTCAATGTGGACAAAGGTACCCAGCTCGGAGGAAGCACACAGCCGCTCAAAACAAAGGGAAAAACAAGCATCTTGGAGGGAGCGAAAGCGGATGCTGACCCAGTGACCAACAAAACCAGCTTGTGTGGGAAACTCATCGCCGCATGACGTCAGAGGCCCCATTAATGCTTGCGTCCTTTCCTAAACCCTAAAGCACCAATCCACTCCTTCCGCTTTCTTCCTTTCTGGGTTATCCACAGATTGCAACATTTTTGTTCACAGAAGCATATTCCTTTTGTTTTCTTGTTGTTTTGGAGTCTTTCTTGTTTTATTTTTATTTTTATTATTTGTGGGTTGTGTTCATAGAAAAATTGGGTGAATATCTTCATCAGTCCCCCATTCATGTCTGTATCAGAATATAAAATTACAACCTTTGAGTGACTCATGTAGATTAGATTGATAATCTTCTTAAAATTGTGTGTCATGTGTCAACTTATAATTTATCATGATTTACACTCTTATATATTTAAAAAAAACCTTAATAGGACTTGAATATTTGCAGTGTGCATGCAGTTCAATAAGGTACATTATTTAAAGGTTAAGAATTTAGTGCACATATGAGGTAGATGACCCATTTCCAATAACCTAAGCATTTCAGCATATTTACAATAAGTGAATAAATAAAATAAAAATGTCTCCATGTATGGAAATAGAAATGAGAAGGATTCTAAATGTTTTTGCACTATTTGGTCCAAAAATGGAATAGTATAAATGTTTTAGTTGAAGATTCTTTTCAACTCATTTTCAATATATAGACCAACCTAATTCAGATCATTGGTGGGTTACAAAACTAAGAATCCAACTTTTACAATAGCGAGAAGTGTGGCACCTAATTATACTATTATCCCATCCCAACCAATCAACAACTACCATCTATTGATAATTGATGCATATCCATTCCAAGTACAATGAAATTTATTTAATGCTCACAATTTAACATCATTTTAACCAACCCTCAACCCATTTCTAATCAATGTGGATGTTAGACCTAGTTGCTTGAGTAACAGAATTTGACAGGCCTACATGTTGGAAATTGGGGAGGGAAAGGGTTGACAATGGATTGGCTACCTTATATATAGGCAATACAAGATTATTTTTGAAGAATTGTGAATATGTATATATCTTTCAAATGATACAGGGTCAGCTGAGTATGCACTGAGGTATTTCTCATAACATGTAGCTCAAATTATAACACTGTCTATTTAAGCATATTCAAAAGCAAGAAAAGGGTTTGCAAATGTACAAATATCATGTAGTATTATTATATTAATACCAGAATCTACGAAATTCTATACACTTCACAAAAAAAATATTCTATCTATCAACTAAAATTTAATTTATACTTTGCCAACTTAGACTATACTCTCATACAAAACAAAACAAAACAAATAATTATAGTTCATCCGGTCCATGTTTCCCCATGATGATAATTTCAACCTTCAGAAGTACGCTAGATGCTAGATTAATAAAAAAAATTGGTGTGTTTGCAAAATAATTAATTCCAAATTGAATGCCTTCGTCAGGCCACTCTTCACTTCGTTCCAAATGCGTTGCAATTACCAAGCAGAGCAGTCCAACTCAGCATCTCCACGTCGTCAGCATGCGCCGTTTGTAGCCTGATATCACGCACGGTTCCTAAAACGCGACCCCCCCCCTTATCTCTGATACTCCCACACTATGGAATATTTCCATCCTGACCCCTTCAAGACGCTGCGTGTACCGTGCCTTGACCCGTTCCCACCACCACCACCCCCAAAACCTTTATTCTAATTGGCGGGGCGGCCTTTAAAAAAGGACTTGGTTTGAATGGGTCCATCCATCCACGTAGGCACCTCGCGCCGACGTGGATGGCCATTCCCCCGTCACGTGGCACCCACCAATGGTCATTCTCCACGTCGGATTAAATGATATCGTTCAAAGTGGATGAGTTGTGTTCATTTTCGGACGATTTTTCATCCTGATACCTGCCCCTCGACTCTTGAATGTCACGAATATTAGCTATGTGATACTGCGACACGTGTCATTTTTTAGGGTGGTGCGAAGAAAAGTGGTTAATTGTATGAATTGAATAGTAAGTTATTAAGTTATTGAAGAGTTTATCAACTTATCAAATTATAATCATATTAGATAGAATTAAAGTAGGTAATAGAATCAACTAAATCTTAATTGCTAAAGATTTCTTTAAGTCTAATTATAAGACCTTTATGTTGATCTAAAAATATAAATATATAAAAAATGGAAAAGGTATTTTTGATATTTTTTTAATGATTTTAAATAAGAATTAAATTTTAAAATAAAATTTTCGAAGTATTTATAAGACTTAGATGTTTTTAAACATATTGAGATAACTTAAATATAAGAAAAATTCACAAAATTCACCAATTAAAGTTTTTACTTTTTTTTAAAATAATAATATTTTAAATCTTACAGTATAGATATTTCTTGATTATAATAATATTTTTAACATTTTTATATTTTTATATTAAAAACTATTATAAAGCAAAGAATGATTTAGAATGATAATAAGTGGATTATTAAAATTTAAGAGGTCCAATATGCTTGTATTCTTTGAATAATACTTTTAGACCTTAATACTTACAAGGTTGTGAATTAAAAGCCTTTTGTGTTATATTTTATGAGAGACATATTTGTGTTTCTTATTTTTAAATAATTTAAAACTTATAGTTAAAGATTTGTGCTTAAAAGGGTGTTCAAGGTAGGCCATATAAAATGTTTGCTAAATAACAATAATAATTCTTTTGCTACAAACAACCTATTACTTTTGTGACAATAATAAAAATTGTATGAGAACTTAAATACCTTTTTAATACATTAGTGCAATTTATATTCATATATATATATATATATATATGTTTCTTCCTTATATTAAAGAAGTACAAACAAGTGAAAATCAAGACAACCATAATAAGAGTGAAAGTATTACATGTATAGGTCATTAGTAGTAGTTTTAGAATATTGTAGTATTAATAGAGTTGAATATGAAATTAATATGAATATACTTGAACTTTTAATTTTTTAAATTCAATTCTCTATTAGAATTTTTATAATATCCAATCCCAAATTTATCTAATAATATTTCAACAATTCTATTTTCTTCATTAAAATTCCATATTTGGTATTGATTCCAAATTAGAACTTCAAATACTAACACTTCATTGATTCTTATTTTTTTCACCTAATAAATTTTTAAAATCGTCTTATGAAAGATTCCAATCAATATAGTAGTTTAAAACGAATTCTATAACTTTACTTAATTTTACATTGAATTAGCTATTAAGATTAGATTTGATTTCCTAATTAACTTTTTTGATTCTTAGAGTGACTAAACCAACTTCCTCAAATCTCATCAAATCTTTACAATTTATCCCTTGGATTGTTAAGCTTGCATATTAAAAATGTAACAAAATTTTGACAAAAATCCAGTAGTTCTTTTTGCTCTTGCATAGGCAACAAAATATTTTAAAAACTAGGTTTCCGATTTCCTGGGGTTTTTGGGTTGATGGCACAAAAAATGAAGTGACAGATTGAAGGGCTACGGAGACGGTACCTCTTCGTCTTAGATCTACGATGGGGAGTGGTAGATGAAGTGGTCGTGTTCGGTCACAACTGATTGCATTGGTTGTTGGGTTGATGCCGGATCACAATGGCGGACCTGGAGCTCACTCTGCTCTGCAGCTTGTGGCTTTTTGTGGGTTTCTGAAAATATGAAAGCATGCACCAATTTTGATAGTATTCCTTGATGTCAGGAGACCGTTGACGACGTGCTCAATCTACCAAGTGATCACCCGATCAGAGATTCAGAAGTGCGCCAGACAGACGTCGGAGACGCCGTCAACCTTTTCTTCTTGTTTATTTTTGTGTTTTCTTTTTCTTTTATTGTCGTAACAAATGGAGCTGGTGCATTGCTTAATCCGTTTCCAACTTTTTGGAATCTTAGATGCATGTAATGCAGCCACGAACAGCTTCCGGGTTATATACGATGCACGGAGCGGGAAGGTTTGTGAAGAGAGGCAACAGACAACGCTTGAGGCACGATGGAAGTTGTTTTTTGTGCTGGACACACACTCTGAACCTGGAAATTATTCGTTTAAATTGGTTATGACGAAGCCCCGAACTGCGGCTTCCAGGGACCTGTTCATCAATGGCATTCAGTGTAGGCGTTGCTTCCACAACTGGCCGCCATTCAGTCCAGCCACCATGCAGGGCAAGTCCTTGTTCCCTCTGTTTCGGTCACGGTTTAGTGCTTTTCAAAATTGTGCCACAATTGTTCTAGATCGGCCGCTTCTGACTGGATCATTGTCTGTGTCCGATTGGCACTTGCCGCTGTAGTTTTTTTCGCCTTCTGAAGCACTGCTTTCAAGTTGTTTTCTTTTCGGTAGTTTTGCATTGTCACTACCATCTTTTCCTCGGTTATGTGACGTTAGTGGAGCTGAGGTAGAGGCTGGGATCGTCCAGGGAGTTTGGTTTCAGTTTGGTATGTACAGTTCGCTACACATCAATTGAATCAGTTTTGTTGTCTGTTTGATGGGCTGCACGTTTCAGAGAATGGATATGGTTTTGTTGCTTCTCAACTGCAGTGCTGTGGGCATTAGAGTTGTTTGTTGGGTTGCTCACATGCGTTTAGATACTTAACTCGATAGTTTCGTTATGCGATATCCCAGTCAAGCTTCCTGCTCAAAGTAGGACTCTCTTTCTTGCTGATATAATAGAGTCCGAACCTGGTTCAGTTGGAGCATACAGTAAATGTCTACTGTGTGCACATTTATTCCTTGACCTTGATTCTCTGCAATTGGAAGTGAAATACGTCCTAGAAAAGACCTAGAAAAGGCATGCTTGAATACCGTGTAGTTTGTTCTTTAGCTTATTTGATCCATTACAGTCCTTGCAGAGTACATTTCGCTCATATAATAAAGCTAACGACGAGGAAAACTTCAACTGGTGTCTGGTTATGCAGGGGTTTGGTTTTCTTCAAAATGGCGTAAGCACTGACCCTTGGAGTCACCCTCCTTTTTTACATTGTCGCATTTGGCCTTGCTCTTGCAGCCATTGCGCACCGGAGCAAGGTTCACTCATCGTCCTGTATTTGTGTAGTATGCATTCTGCTGTAGTCATTGCTTGATAGTGAATTTTCTCCTCTTTCCTCGCCGTGATTCATGAATGAGGAAAGAATGTAGACTTGAGGAGCATGTAGTGTACTAGAAGATGCACCCATGAAAGGAAGTTGAACTTATTGACATTCTGGACATCAGTTCGTCACTTGATTGAATGTTTCCTGTACTGCTTGCAGGCAACCCCAGCAATTGATCCTAAAACTCGGTTTCTGAAATGTCAATACTCCTCCGACGTAGCAACCGGTTATGCTGTCGGGTCTTTCATGTTCCTGCGCTTTTCGCAAGTTTTCATCATGTTAGCCTCACGCTGCCTTTGCTGTGGGAGTGGTGTCAAACCTGGAGGTGCCAAGACATTCGGTGTGCTGATGTTTCTTTTGTCATGGTAGATACAATCTGACTCCTGTTGCCGAAATACTACGGATTTTTCTGTTGATTTTATTAACTGTTTCAATGACTAGAATTGGTATTGGATTTTTGGAAAACTTCTTAGTTGAAAATTGAGCTTTTAGACATGCAATTTTCGCAGGATGTGCTTCGTTGTTGCCACGTCTGCTCTGATCGCTGGTGCAGCTCAAAATAAAATCCAAACAGAAAAGTATTACAATTATTTTGGAGACAGAGTCACATGCCGAGAAGTGCGAAAGAGTTTATTCGAGGCTGCAGCAGCTTTTACCTTCCTCACTATGATATTCAGTGAGCTGTATTTCTTACTGCTTTCGAAAGCTCGGGAGCCTGAGCCATGGATGTCGAATGGCCCCTCAGTGGGCATGTCTCGTTACCCTTCAGTTTCGTTCGCTTGTCTAGACTTTTCTAGTTCGGATCATGCTCAGCTCGTTTTTTTAAGAGCCACATTCATCCTTTTAGATGTACATGGTGAATCATAAAACCTTTCAGAATCGAAATTTAGTCAGCCTTAATGTTGTAATTTTTCACGCTCCGTTCTCCAGAGCGTCCACATTCTCATGAGACAGCTTCATGCACAATTCGGCCTTTACGTCCATTATTCTGGACTCTGAGCTCCCTGTTGTGTCTGTGTTTTTTCATCTCGTTTTAATTCTAATGCATTCTGATTTGTCCGATAGTAACATTGGTTCCTTCCCATCAATCTCCGAAGTCTTGTATGATTATTACATATCAATTACAATCTGAAGTTTATGCTTCGTCCAAGTTGAGACTCAGCTCAGAGTTTGTTTGCCTTTCTGTGAATGAGTAATGTAAAGAAATTTCAACTTTTTTGTGCCTTAGTAGTGTTCCTATTGCGAGTGACCTTCAACAAGCTTGTTGATTTCCTTCCGCTGGAATAGCAGTTTCATTTTGTTTCTATCCAATCAAAAAGTTTCAGTACTTATGTAATTCAATAGGAGGAGTTGACAAGAATGGTCGCGACGCTTGCCTGCCAAGTGCCTCTCTTAAGAAGGTACCAAAAGGCAATTTGGAAATTATTCTGCTCTTGTCACGTCCGACATTGGAGACACGCAGCTCTGTTTGCAGATCGCTTGCAGTTCGGATTCTAACGCGATTCTGGTCTCTGATTTTATCTCCTCTTGCGTGTGCAGGTTGCAACCCGAGATCGAGAGCTCGAGAGGATTTTGCCATCTGCGGGGCATCTCAAGTTTTTTATTGTATACTCTGCCTATGTTTAGGCATCTCTCTGGTATTTCATTTTGACTGTTTCGTGCTTCTTCTAACGTCTTGGTGAACAGGTGAGCGTATTCCTTCCATCTTCAGCTTATTCAGGTAAATTGTAAATCCCAGTAGCTCGGTGATACAGCCTCGTTAATCATGTCGTATGGGTCGCACTTGAATCGTAAGGACAAGTTCAATCCGGTAACGGAGTCGATGTACCGTCAGAAGCCCGCGGGGCTTGTTGTCAGAAGCATGGAGAGGACGAAGGAGTACGACCCAGAAGAACCAGACGGCCCAGCGACGCATGTCGAAAACGCACCACGGGTAGAACGTGGAGGCTCTGACTCGAACTGGATAATGAGCAAAGAACGCATGGAATACCGTCACAGCAAAATTATTGAAATTCTTGACGGAATGGTTCACAGACTGCCTAAGGAGAATTTTGATGTATATCTTGAGCGATGCTATTCTACTGCTAACTTGGCCCTGAACAAAGCTAACAAAGCCATCACTGGCGACGAATGCGAAGACGTCGGGGATAGGTGGGTGACCCGTTTTGTCATAGGTTTCAGGTTACTGTCTAGATTAACTGGCGTGGGATGGAAGTCAGAGGAAGAGGCGTTGCTCTTCAAACTAGTGCGAGAGGAATGCGACATGCTCACCAAGCAAGATGTCCAATTCATAGAATCAAGATCGAGTGTTAGGACGGAAAAAAGGCCGTGGGAGAGAGTATTTGACGACAGTCACCCTACAGATTACAGAGAAGGTGTCGGCGACCCTTCAAAGTTCCACCATTGAAGCAGCCACTCCTAGGAGTCTACTCAAAACCTTGTACGTAGACAAAGTCTATTTATAAAATAAATTTAACACCTATTTTTACAGGATAGTCCACCGGTATGTCAACCATAAGTTGTCCAAGTATTCTATGACATATATTCATTTGACTAAAGATCATTGTTTTGAGATTGCGAAGAGTATTGCTAACCACGTGAGGTCCAGAACCAACACTCCCAGGCTTAACTGCACAGAAGCCAAGCATTAGAAACCTTGAAGAGTTGATACATTAGCCTTCTCCGTGATGATTGTTGCAGAGCTACTAAAGGTCTATGCAAGACAATGTGGGGTTGTACAGGAATTGTTATAAATCACCTCAATTGGCAACATGTTATGAATTTCACGTAATATTCACACATCTCTGAACTGGTCCGAGATTTCACACATGCAGTTAAAACAAGTACCTCGAAATTTTATGCATTGCCACAAGCTAAACTTTGAGCTATGATTTATCAGAGCCTTGATTATTTGTGTCATGTAATCACATCAACCGATGCGAAGTACGGTAGCACTTTGTTTTGCAACCCGAGATTCATGCGGTAGTTTTTGCCTGCGAAAACGAAACTAAAGTCATTTGATTAATGCAAAACATCATAGTGTCGGTCTGCGTTGAGCCTCGAAGCTTGTGGTTGCTAAATTACCGCGATGCTTAAATTGGTTTTGAGACCAATGGTAGGTTCGACAAGGTAGCCGTGCCTGCTGCTCCGACGCCTCCAGAGCTTTCTCTTCCTCGAGAACCTTGCCAATGCTGATGACCCCATGAAACAGCGAAACGATACGGATTTTGTTTTTCCAAAGCAGCACCTTGTGTTTCTCCTCTGTACACAGCCACACACACAAGCACTTCCCCAGAACCCTTAACTTCAGCCTGCAATACCTCTGACATGGTTGCCAGACGGTTAATTAATGCAGCTGTTGTGCTTCCGAGGTCGAAACGAAGGTCATTTGTTGAGGTACAAGAAAATCGCCAAAGCATGGCATGCCTGCATGAGTGTGGATTGGGTTCATGTCAATACATCGCTGACTAGATATCTAAGCACTGTCATGGAGGAAGAATCCGTGCTCAGAAGAAGGCCAAGCTGATCAGGCCGGAGGATTCCACGCTAGTTTCGAAGGGTATGAAGGGTGTGTGTGTGTGCGCGCGTAACACAAGGAACGGATAACTTGCCACATTCAGCCGCGTGAATCAGCTCGAAAGTTTCTTTGACCACATTGTCCATAGGCTCTTCATGCTGGCTCACGTATTCTTCTTGGTGCAGATCTCCCGAGAAATTGCACCTGGCTGCCACCGTATCAAACCCAGTGAGACCAGACAAATTTGCACCAACAATTATTTCTCCATCGCGATCCGAGAGGCCCTCCATGCAGGAATAGGCGCTGCTTATATGTGTCAAAACAAAAAGTTAGGCGAAGACATCATGAGGTCACACCCCAGGAAGAATATAAGCATTGGTGGATCCAGCAGTTGCTACACAAAATAAATCGTAATTGCTTCTCTTCTATGCAGAAAAGCTTTGGATTAATACTATGATACTGTGGAGGTGATTCTGTAGGCAGCCCAAGTCGCTTTCCCCCAAGATTCTGAAACGAGTTAGTACCGTGTGCATCCTTCGCATGTGCATTCTGCTTTTCTCCTTCGACTTCAACCTTGGCCATGATGCGATCCGAATCGTTACTAGGCTCAGGATGATCATATTGCAAGTCCTTCAAACCCACGGCCATGTCATCTCCAAGGTCTTCTTCCAGGGGTTCATTCGAAGTGCAGTTTTGGTCAACGATGATCGACGAGTTCACACTCGGAACGATCACAGGCTCCGCCGGCGATGGACAGTTTGTGAGCTCGACCTGGAAGCTAAGTTCGTCTTGTTGGTCGACACAGTCCAGGCACGCTTCCAGGGGCGAACCGAAAGTGTTTTCCGGAGAACACAGATCCTGGTGTGGATCATGTAGCGAAGCGAGTGCACCAAGCCCACTCCCGGATCTTGCCAGCCCCTTCGGCAAGACCTTCCCCTTCTTTGTCTCAGCTGTTCGCAACATTCACCGTCGACTTCTGAATTGTGATATTTTTAAAGAAATCTCTACACCCTGACATATTTGATGATATTTGTGATTCGGAGGTGTTATTGCCTTAATCGTTGAGCCACGGTTTCGTCGTCAACATCCTGCTCTAACTCTGGCTTGGTGTAGCCTTCTTCTCTCCTCCTAGCTGCACCCTCTTGTTTCTGCTAAGAGATTCATGGAATGTATTCGTCAAGATTGAGATGGATTGAAACTTGCGAGAAGCCTAAAGTAACAACCTAAAATAAGGTTGATGAGAGGTGTCGAGAGAAGAGATTGAACATTAAGAGACGTCTGAGTCAAAAAAACGTCGTTCATTCTCGATATCTGTTGGGGCTCACAGAAGTTCAGTTATCTCTTGCAGGATTCATACTTTGATAGCAAACCCAAAACCTTGAAAGGTATTGAAATTCCTACATCTCCAGGATGAGTCAGACATAGAATGATGGAGTTTTTTTAGAAATTCCTCCACATTTCGATGGTAGATTGCCGAATTTTAGATGGTCATCTACAAAATTGTGCCAAGGTTTTTGTGTAGGAGTGGTTATTTAGGTCTTACTAAGTGAATGTTGTGCGGAGCACGGATCTCAAGGTGGCCAAGGTCCCGTTTGGCGCATCTCTCTGGATTCTCGGCAAACTCTCTTTCCAAGTACTTCTGCACCAAAGAAATTGCGGTTGTTGTGAAAGCAATGGCATCGAAGCAGTGCTTCATGCAACTCGAAGGGTAGATGTTCTCAGCATTGAATTATACCGAAGAGTTGCTACACTAACTTTAGTCTGCCTGCGTAGGGAGTTGGTGCCACTTTGCACAACCTGAAATAAAATCGCAACTCTTACCAGGGCCGATTCAGTTGGGCACCTCGCAGGACGCATTGCTGAACTCTTTCGGTGATGCACCGTAGCATGCTCTGAGACATAGTTGCCACTCTCAGTCTGCTTGCAGCAAGCTGCTTCTGATGCCGTGGAGACATCGATAAGGTTTCCCAAATGGAACCTGCAATGCCTGCCATACATGTACCCTAACGCCGGACATCCTGCCCCCACGAGGATCGGTTGGTAATCTTGCATGGAGGTTAACTATTCCATTCTCGGTGAAGGTACCTTCCAAGTCCAAATCGTTCACATTCCCTGTGTCAAACTTACCTAGTTCCTCAGAACATCAACGTTGATTTGCAGATAGACATCCTGGCAACCAGATGGTTATTCAGCAATTGATGTCATTCATCTCAAATGATCACTTTAGTTCCGCAGCAAAGGAGCCAGTAATCCACCGATGTGGCAAAGCGGATGGAGACGATGCAGTGGTTGCAGTAAGTATTCGGCTTTAGAGGGAAATTGCCGTGGGTTGGAATCAGACGTAAGAATGACCAGATTGAAATGGTGGCCGCGACAAGCCATCTTGCTCACATGAGGATGTAATATGCTGGGATGCTTAAATGGTGAAGTTCTTACGAGGATATTAGCGTCAGGCTTGGTCTACGTTGCGAATGTCTGCATGAAAAGAGCGCTTGTTGGAGTTGAGAGCAACTGGAGATGGTTTCTTAACAACTACGTGAGGCTTCAATTGTCCTGCAGGGAAATAGCATGACCCCGCCATTACATCGGTTACAAGCGATGGGTTCGAAGAAGATGATAAGTCCTGGTTGTGGTGGAGAAATGGGGCTGTGACGATGATAGATGGTACGATTCTGGACCCAAAAGATAGACTGGGTGCGAAGGGGCGGCTACAGAGTTGGAGGAAATCCGGGAGCAGCTCAAAATCTCCCTTCATCATCACATTCGCTGAGCGACAACGTTGTTCAAATTTGTGGAACCGTTCCCAAACGCACTTGTAACAAAAGAAAGAGAGAGAGAGCGTGAGCCGGCAATCCCGAGCACGGCATGGAATCGATCACAGTTTGACGTGTTTTGCATTGTGGTGTGAACCGGTCCATGGTGGGGGCTCTCCATCCATCCAACCAGAGCCTGCTCGTGCAGTTAGAGTTCTGCTTGAAATCACCATTTCAACTATTATCAAACAGGGGAAGCATATATTTTCGTCCAGTTGCTTGGTCTGAAACGGATCAAGGACATGGGATTTTATGCTAGAGAGGCCAACGCCTGGCAAGGGTTGGGATTCACGAAAACCAGGAAAACAAAACAAAGGTTCTGTCCAATGAGGAAGGAGAATCGACGATAAAGGATGGGACATGCCCTTCGTTCTGATCCTAATTTAGGCCACCAGACCGCATCATTAGAAATCATCATCTTCGTCAACAGTAACATTCCCCCGAATACTGATGACACTTTTTCGACTCCGTTGATACTCCCTCCATCCAGCTCTGAGCTGCTGTGAGCTGCACGGGGTTGCGGCAGAGCGGTGTAATGAAGAGCGGGATGTAAGATGACGGTTATGCCCGTCGGGATTTTGGTTTGGGGATTCCAAACCGTGGCAGCCATGAGTTTGTATGGGTAAGTAGGTTTAGGGGGAGACGAAGCTTCAATCAAGGAACGTGGTGCTTTGATCATGGCTCTTGGGTTGGTCGCTGCTATGCTTCAGAGCACATTTGCGTTGAGCTGTGTTGTGCAGCTCGAATTCGCGTTCTAATCACCGAAAATTTAGGTTTGTGAGCTAGAGTTGGTGTTTCCTCTTGCTTTTACTGGCGTAATTTGAACCCCTTCTGCTTCAGACTGGAGGGGTCCTTAGCCTCGAGTGGGGAAGATAGGTGTCAGGTGAAGCTTTCGCTGGTATTTGTGATGAAGTCCTTTATATCGTAGGGGTTTTGAAGGGAGTGTGCTTGTGTGTGGTTTTGTTTTGTTTTGTCTTTTGTTTTTTCTGTTTTGTGTTTTTTAATAAACTTTTCTTTTCCGTTTTCGACGAGTTTTACTTGTTGTTCGAATTTGTGCACAAAAATGTGCATTTGGGGCGGCGAATTAGAACATTAGAGAAGCAGAGGCTTAGGAATGGCCACCAACTCTCTCCTCCGCGTTTGCTCTGCGAGCATTGGAGACGGCCGACAGCTTTGCAGAAATAGATGTATCAGTCAAGATACTCTACAGGTGGTCTTTCGTTACGATATAATGAATTCTTCTCTGACCGAATTCTTGCCTTCGTCATGGCGCTGGGTGCCTCCTGCGAGCGTATCACATGCAACGGGTTCAAGAGTCAACCCTCTTCACAGCGGGGGCACCATGAGAAGGGTCCTGTATGGAATGGCGGACACGAGAAGTGGGGAACGAAGAGGACGTTGTACAGGAGCATTTAATGCAGGTCCTGACACAGGTGCGAACAAGGTGAAAGGAGAAGGTAGGGTAGACACCAAGGAAGGTGAGGAGGAAGAATTGGTTGTTCGCTTGTCCGAAATGGGCAAATTCTGGCAGGAAGACCAAGAGAAGAAATTCCGGGAGGCTCATGATAATGGAGCACTGTCAATGGAGTCACGTGAAGGTACGGATTTCTCAAAGTTTCCGTCTGACGGGACAGAAAGCGAGGAGGGTAGACCCGAAGAATTGCAACAGTCGTCGGAAAATGGGCGTTCTGTTTCTGGAGAGGTTTGTCAAAATAACCACGAGCTTTCACTTAAGTCCGCGAAAGATGTTTCTATCTCTAGAGTTGTCGTGGACTGCCATCAACTAGGGCGTGGCCGTAGAAGCGTTGAAACGTGACCTTTGCATTCTGTGTATAGAATGATTTTTTTTTAATGCGTTTGCTCTCCTTTGAAGATAACTCTACTTGCTTGACAGACCTGGTAATTTTTCGTAATGAATTTTACTATAGTTCACATTTTTTGAGGTATCGCATTACAAGAAAATCTTGATTTATTTGAAAACTCAATGTCAATAAAGGAGAGTTGATTAGTGACTATTTTTAAGGTACTATCTGGGTCATGGACATTGATCAATGCAGCCAATGCGCTATTCGTGAGGTTTCCCAGGAGCAACCTTTCGCCTCGATTTAATTTTTAATATCATGTATCCTTATGGGCTCTGCATGAGAATAATGGAGGTTTAGGTTTTCATGGACACACGAAAGGTTTTATTGCACTGTTTGGTGTATCTTGAGTGGTTTAGACGAGGCTCAAAATTTTTCAATTTGCAAAATGCTGAGTGTTTTTCGGTCGGTGTTATGTGTAGCAGGTGAGCCAGTCAGCATCTTCAACAAGCAGTACAATCTCCAACAGTAGACCATATGGTCATACTTACATACAAGGTTCGTTGTCAGGTTCTGGGAATGCTCCTCTACAAGAACCTCGTAGTGATTACAGACCACAATCGAGCTCTGAACCTGTGTTCTTAGAAGTCATACCTGAAGATCTCGCAACAATTCTTCCCGACCCTTCGCAGACCGTGGGACTATTTGATGGTCAGCAGCCACTGTCTGTCATAGAACAAGCACAGAGAGAGGCGGATGTGGAGCCAGTCAAAGAGTGGGATCGGTGGCCAACTGGTCTTCAAGAAAGCCAGATAAAAATCAAAACAGATTTGCAGGGAAAATACGGTAGAGAAATGGCAGCCGCTATTCAAGCGGTGCAGCTTGCCTGCATGCTGAGTCAACGTGTTCAAGAGCGTTTACTTCGTAAGGAGGAGAAGGCAGGGTCAAAGAAGGACAAGTCTTTAATTACTGTGGCAGGTACTTGTGTACTAACATGCATCTATGAATTATCATGAGTTTGATTCTACAGGGTCACACACTAAAGTTCCAGGCCAGTCTCTATGGTCGAGAATTTCGTGAAGCGTAAAGATTTTAAAGACTTGTTAATGTTGACATTGATGTCTTACATACCAATTCGTGAAGACTTCACGTGTTTTAATGTAGAGCTAAGTGAATTAGGACAGCGATGAAAGAGTTACTAGCAGACAAATGTGCTAATGATATTCTCTTAACTGCTGGCGTGAGGACAGATTGGGGAGTGCAAGCTGTTGTAAGCTGGGTTCTTTCCCAATCTTTTCAAGGGGAAGCGATCCCAATGGTGGCTGAAGAAGACACGAAAGGGCTTAGAGGCCAAAGTGGCATAGACATGTCACAAAGGGTCGTCAATGCAGTTAATGAATGCTTATGTGAGGCTTCGGTGGTCGGTATTGCACCTCCAAAGCAGCCACTTGGCTCCTATGAAGTGCTCAAATTAATTAACAAAGGAACCACCCTCGGTGGTCCTACAGGGCGTCACTGGGTGCTTGATCCTGTGGATGGCACGTTGGGATTTGTCCGTGGGGATCAATATGCGGTTGCCCTGGCCCTTGTAGACGATGGTGAAGTTGTGCTTGGAGTCTTGGGATGCCCAAATTTTCCGATGAGGCCCGCTTGGTTGGGATATCATCACAAGTAAGCATGTCTCAAATACCTCTTGTCAAATCCAATCAAATCCCGAGTTCAGATTTTCATTGTGGCACGCCGTCAATGTAGCCAATGCGTTTAATGTTCATTTTGGTTTGACATCAGTGTCTCTTATTCGTATGAAGCTCTTTTGCATTCTCAGAGAGTATGTCTGTTCGTGTAACATCTATTGTGAAATCCTTCAACAGGTACTACCGTATGGCAATGAAGATTGTGCCTCCAGATTCCAATCATTGGCACAGGGGATGTGTTATGACAGCTCAGAAAGGAGAAGGTCGAGCATGGATGCAGCCGATGATTTTCAATGGAGAAACATTTAACGAGTTTCATGCTCCTCGTGAGGTGTGTGTCTCCTCGGTTGTTGATCCTACAGAAGCGACCTTTTGTGAGCCAGTTGAGAAGGCCAATTCTAGTCATTCTTTTACTGCTGGTCTAGCAGATACCTTGGGTTTAAGGTGACAAACCTTTCCATTCGTTTTATATTCCAACCCCTTAAATGTCTCCTCTGCCTTCATGCTCTTGGAATTGCCGTGTGATATCCAGCTTCAACTACCGGCATTGTTGTGTAGATTTTTTAATTCACTTCGGTAGACGCTAGAGTTCCCTGAATTTCAAATGTAACGATACTTTCTGGTCTCCTCTCTACGTGCATAACCGAGGTCACGGTCATTATTTACCGACTAAATGGCGAGTGCCATATTCTTCAGCTTAGCATCGTGTTGACAGTGACGTGGGTTTTCTTCCAGAGTCCACTACCTGTATAATTTAATCCTTATGTTAATCAACAAATTCTTAAAGCTGCAATACTGTAGACTTCTAAGTCCTGGATCTAAGTTAGTCGACTCTTCTATTTAACCAGGAATCAGCCGCTGCGAGTCTACAGTATGGCCAAATACGCAGCCATTGCTCGGGGTGATGCAGAGATCTTCATGAAGTTTGCAAAAGCTGGATATAAGGAGAAGATTTGGGACCACGCTGCAGGTGTGCTGATTGTCCAAGAAGCTGGTGGTGTGGTAACAGACGCAGGTGGCCGGCCTCTCGACTTCTCCAAAGGTCGGTTTTTGGAAGGATTGGACCGTGGCATTATAGCTTGCTGTGGAAAGTCCTTGCACAACAAAATCATTGCAGCTGTGGATGCTAGTTACAATTCATCTACACTTTGAAATAGACATCTGCTGCATTCGCTCACGTCAAGGTTAGTCACCTGCTGTAGACACTAGCTGGTATAGATTTAAATGCAGGGTCATTGTTCTACTCAACTGGTTGGTCTTGCTCAAAAGAGCCAGCCGACTATGTTAGCCCCTGAAGGAGGGACTGACGAAGGTGATGAAGTGATCCATCAGACTGATTTTTGCATCTGCACTTCCTTGTGAGGTTCTCACGGCCAAGTTACATGTTGGAATTTTAAAATAGGGACACAATTGTGTCCTTCCGCGGGCAATGTATATAGCAATACTTGAATTGGAGGTTTTGATCTTTTTGGCATTGAAGCGCTTTGATCTTTTGTCATAGTATACTTAATTGCAGTGTCAAGTCAAGGTGTTTGTGAGCTAAAATAAACCTCGACTAGTTTGAAGTTTAATTTAGTTCACAAGTGATTAACTTTGTGAATTCTGGAAGGTATAGCTATTAATTAAATCCTAATCAAATCACTCTTTATATTTCTTAAATAATCCAAGCAATCAATCCAAAACTCTGCAATTATTTCACATTCACCATAATAAATCTCTCAACAATTTAATGCTATAAAAATTTCCTTCTTTTAGTTATTTTTTTAATTTTTTTTTCCTTTATTTATTATTATCATTGTTATTATTGTTTTATTTAATTTTAACCAAAGTTCATTCATTGACAAAAAAATCATCTATGAATGAGAATTTACTCTTGAATAACATTTCATCTACCTACTTCATCTATGTTTAAGAATTCTTCTTTAATTTGAACTTCACTCAATAAAATTCATCCAAAATCCTAACACATCAAACCTTAATTGATTCCTTCTTAACTTAGATTCCTTGCCTCCATTATTGCTCCTTGAGGATAGTAGTGCCTATTGGGGGCTGCTAATCAGAAAACAAAAAAACCATTGAAAAAAAAGAGAGGGGGAATCCGGGGCGGCTTGACCACTATCGACAAAGAGACTGCCGCTATTCAGGGGCAGCCTGTTGTCTTCTTGATCACCCTTCTATTTTTATTTTTATTTTTCTCCTTTTTTTTATTTTTCTCTTCTCTTTCTTCTTTCTTTTCTTTTCCTTCTTTTTTCCTCTACTATATTTTTCTTTTTCTATTCTTTGATTTATTTCTAACTTACAATTTTTTATTTTTTAATATTATATATATATATATATATATATATATTTTTAACCACTAATACTAAAGTTCTATTTTCTTTTGACAATAAGGGCTACTTCTATTGAGTCATCATCTAATATTAGCTACAAAACCATATTCATCATAGAAATTGTCTTAATAAATTCCATCTTAGGATGCATATCTACTATTAATAATCTATCTTCATTTTTTTTCCTAAAAATTCTACTACTAACTCACAAAATTTGTAATTTTAAGTATAATAATTGCATTTTTTATACTAAATATCCAAGTGAATCAATTCAGTGACTCGTAGTGTCTTTGCATGTTCTAGAATGATTTTACATCAAGTTGATACTAGTGGGATTATGTATTGTTGTATGGCCGTATTTATACTTTTCATATGATGAAATCTACTAGGGGGTATTTTGAGTGTTGTCTATTCATAAGTTACTCCAATTCTCTCACTATTGAGGACAAGTTCCTTCATAAAGAAATCATTTTCCTAGTTAGGCATTGTTGATTGTTACCTTTTACTACTACTATGGACCTTTTATGTCCAAAATTTCTCTACTTCAAAATTTCTTGACTGGATTCTAATTGAGTTTAATATGTAAAATCTTATTGTTAAGGATGCCATAACCTATCATTAGAGAATTTTGGATTTTGGAAATATATTCTTTATAAATTAAACAAATTCATTGCCAAAACTAGGTTATTTTTGATAATTTTTGAAAAACATAATGTTAATATTTTTTTGAAATATTGAATTGACATAGATGTTGCTACTTGATTTTTTTTAAAGAAATACAATAGCATTTTTAATATTTTTATAAAAAAAATAAATTAAGATAATATTTCAAATATTTCTTTTTATCTTGATACATTCAAAATTACATATTTGGTTAAATATTTTGATTATATTTACTATTTTCAATTGAAGAAGTCCATAAGGTTGATGATGAGGAATTTTGGATTTTGAAAAAATATCACATGATTGTACAAAGTCTTTGACTACCTTCCATATTTGATGCTATTAAAAATATTTAGATATTAGCTCTAGTGTCTTATTGTATCCAAAATGTCCGACTGTTAGAAAGTCATGACGAACTTGAAGAACACATAATTGTGCTTCACCTTTTAGAATATATAATCATCTTTCAAAGTAGAGTAGTTTATTCTTAAATTCAAATTTAGTAGTTTCATAAGACTTAAAATAATTATTCTTAATTTCATAAACAAGAGGATTAGAAGATATACGCAATTGAACTTGCTTGTAAAAGGTTGAATCAACAATCAATGTTGGTTTTATTAATTGAAGGTAAAAATACTCTAGCTTCAAGAAAATTGTTCCTTATTGATCAAAAGTTATATCTCTTCCTTTTGGTACAAGATAAGAATGTCTAGAAAGGGCATCTAACAAATCTTGTTATTTTTCAAAGTGATAAGTGAACTTGAAATCAAATCTTGATAAAAATATGTTTCAACGGGCTTAGTGACAATTCAAAGTATGTGTCGACATGAAGTACTTAAGGTTCTTGTGATTTATATATATGGTGATAGGACTCAAGGCACCTTCTACATATTGATGCCATTCTTGAAATGAATCCATGATTGCAAGAAGTTGTTTATCAAAGATTTCATGGTTAATCTCTGCTATTAAAATTTTTCATAGAATGAAAAGCTACCAAGTAAAGCTTGTCATAGGCTTCTATTTGTGACTAAATGACACCTGTAGGAAAGTTTGATGTATTTTCTCCTATAAAGAATGTATTGAAAAAAATTGGCCTAATATAAGATTGGTGTAATAATATATATATTTTTTTAAGACTTCAAAAGATACTCTAGTTTCATTATTCTATTTAAGCTTTTTTTTAAATACTAGACATGTAAATAGAACTACCACTTGAAAAAAATTCTTCATAAAGATATTATAATAATTGACAAATTTTAAAAAATATTGCATATCTCTAACTATTTTTGAGATCTCTTAATCTATTATAGTGTAGATCTTCTTAAGATCCATGATAATACGATTGTTTGAGATGATATTTCCTAAGAAGTCAACTTAAATAGTATAAAATATACACTTTTCTATCTTGGTATATAATTGTGTATCTTTTAATTTTTGTAATATACAAGAAATATAAACTTTATACTCTTTTATGTTCTTAGAGTAGATTAAGATGTTGTCTAAATAACAAATAATAAAATCATCAAAAAACTCACAAAGACATTATTTATTAGATGTTAAAAAATAATTGGTGGATTCGTGAATCCAAATGGCATGATGTTATATTTGAAATATCCATACTTAGTTCAAAATGTAGTTTTTCATTCATCTTTTTTTTTTAATAAGCATCAAATTGTATGCTCCTCATAGATCTATTTTTATATAGATCTTTATTTAATTCAAATGATCAAGAAGTCTCAAAATCAAAGATAGAGGATACTTATTCTTGATGTCATCTTATTGAGACATAGTCCACACACATCTACAGTCAATAGTCCACACACATCTACAATCAATAGTCCACACATATCTACAGAGATTTGTCTTTTTTCTTCACAAATAAGATAAGAGCAACAACTAATGTCATAGATATATACATTTATTTCAATAATTACTTATATGATTAGGTAGAAATAAGTAAATATAGATTAATTTCATAAAGTCTTTTAGTAAAGCTTCCTAGAAGCTTCATAGACAAGGTTTTGACTTTAGATGTGTTTGTAGGTCAGAAATTTAGCCAACAAGTTAATCACATGTTGGTAGCTTGTGGAACGAGTTAACTCCGCATAATAGCTTGTGGAACAAGCTAACCATATGGCGCTATCGTAATACATGAGGTCTTGCTTGAAAATGCTTTGGGCACCTAATTCTAGAAGGTAGAATAGAAATTACAACAACCAAATCTTAACTGTAATAGAATACTAGCTAAACTCTAATTAGACCATAATAATTTTAAGCAAGCTTTAATCAAATTCAAAGAAACTTCAAAGGAATTATAAAGAAACAATAAGAAATCTTAAAGAAATATTAGAATGATTAAAAATATATCTCAAATACATCTCAATTCATTCTTAATTTAATCCTAATTAAAATCCTATTGGATTTAAATTTAAACCTCAATAACTAATGAATGAATTGCTGATCTTAACTAAAAAATTTCATACTTCTTAAAAATTAAGTTGAAAAGAAGAAAAAATAATTTGAAAAGGATCAAAATTATCAAATAGATGATAACCTCAAAAATGTGCTTGGGTATTGGCTGGCCTCCTTCTTCAACCTTGATGCCAATTTCTTAGAGCCAACATCTCTCTTTTTTACCATTCGATCGATTTCAAAATTTTCATATACATAGAAAAATAAGTCTATTATCTTTACTCATAAATTTCACTCCAATCCAACTAGTATATTGCAAGAAATCTTTAAAATCCTCACTTGACCTAAAATTCTATTTTTTGAGACTTTGACCCACTTAAACCTTAATAATCCTCAATTCAATTGTTAGATCGAGCTAAAATTTACAACACATATTAAACAAAATTATAACCATTAAATTAAAAAATTTTATTCAAAGATCTATTTTAAAACTCTTGAAATTGTCCAAAATATCAATCCTATTTTATTTCACAAAATCCAAGTCATTTGGAAACAAACTTGACTTTATAAAGCTCTTAAAAAGTCACTATGAAACTATAATTGCCCAAAACTAATTCTCATAAAAATCTTATCTAGTTTGCTATCAAATTCCACTCTTTGATCTTCAAAAGAACCCTCGAGTTGCCATAGGTGCTCAGTTTTGTGCCTCAAGGTCTGATTTCGACCCAAGTTTGTAACTAGTTCTCTCTAGGTATTAATATCTAGTTTTTCTATGTAATTTTTGCTAAAATTTACTCTTAACTTCTTCTTAAAAATATCAATATCATTTATTTTTCCAATCTATCTTATTTTGCCTTATTTTTGGCCCTACAAAGAAAGTAGAAGCTATTTTTCTAAAAAGGTAGCATTACTACTAAAAGTTTTATTACCTTCCTATATTTTATCCATATTTTTTTATTTTATCTTTTAACTTGACTCTTCTATAATAAGATCTATATTATTATCTTTTACCATATAATCGTGTTACAACATGACAGCTCATACATAGATAACTTGCCTTGCAAATTAAGACAT